TATCATTCTACAGTAAACCTCTAGACTTGCATTACCAGAATTTTTTTCTTTCTTCCTCCCACTTCCTTTTTTAGGTTGTTCCTTTCCCTGTTCTGGAACATCTGTTTAAGAACATAGATGAAGCAGTTTTATTACTTTTCAAAAATTTTGTACGTCTTCTGTAGCAACTTCTAGCTGAAGAAAGAAAAGGAATAAAACTAAAAACTCTTGCTTGAACCATCATATTGCTCATTTCATTAGTGGTGTGATCTCAGTTCCCAATTTAAATGTGCTGGTATTTGATCCTATCTCTCAGAAATCCTTACCAATCAACATCAAAACCAGTATAGGCATGAATCCTAAATTTAATTAGTTAATGAATCCTAACAACTTAAATTTTTTAATTCTCACTAAACTTTGGGTTAGGGTTAGGGTTAGAAAATGAAATAAAATATAAGCAATTTATTATTCAACTGCAAAAAGAAGTGTACAAATAATACATGAATAGAGTACAAATATCATGCAATATTGTATAGTTGGTTATTTTGTACTGTAAAACCCTGTTTAACTGTGCGTGCCAAGCATCTTTATCTACTTTTCTTTGCAGTTGGATAATAAATAACTTATTAGGTTCTGGTGTGTAGTATTGCTTAGTATTTTTCCTTGCTGTTTGTATTTTGACTTGCCCTACTGGCACATCAAAATACGACACAACTAACTAAAAAAAATGCTCAGCAATACTACACACCAAAATGTCTAATAACATGTATACATATACACATATATTCCCTCCAATTGACAAAAAAAAATCTGCCCAGATGTTGGTTCATAGTCATTAATTGTTTGTTCACAGAAGCAAACAGATTTCCCAGAGCAAAGCTTCAGAGTTCTCATCAAGTGTCAGTCACTGACAAGAAAATTTGCCACCTCAATTTTTGAGCTGCCTATTTTAAAAAAAAAAAAAAAAATGTGTGCAAGTTATGAGCAATTTTTGTAGCAGTCAGACATTTTAAATTTTAATTACAGTTAAAACTGTAATTAAAATTAAAAATGTCTGACTGCTACAAAAAATTTCGAGAAAGATAATTTTCTTACCAGCCATTTTCACATTTCCACGAAACAACAAAAATTTATGCTTTTATGTTTTTTGCTGCCCGGTTAAGCACTCTTGCAAAGTCTACCTAGCACACCTTAACCTAGCCAACCACCCACCATATCGATTTATACACACATGTACTTCCAAAAGACTGCATAAAATGGCATTTTAGAGTCTCTTACTTTCAAAACTAATATTTTGTGGGGGAGCATGCCCGAGAACCCCAGCAGGAGTTCTCAAATAATCAGTAGTCTACTCCTGATGCAGCTAGCCATATACTCCTGACTTATTGAAAACCCTGAACATATGCATGTGTTGTGGGTCAAAAATTTCCCAGATTCATTTAATTTTTACTTTTAGTTGTCTTTGTTAAAGTTTGACTTTTGAAAGAAACAAGAAAAAGAGTCAGACTGTTTTAAAACCTTTCTGTGAAATTAAAAAAACTGGAAACACCCACATATTTCTAGAACATGATTGTGTCATGATATACAATCCAAGGAGGCATAAGGATTTTTGAACTGTACACAGTAAGGCCAACTAGTTTGTGGTTTTGTTCTTTGCTTCCATGTCCCTATTTCCCCCTGTAATTGGTTGAAATACAATATTATGAATAACCATTCTAGATACATTTCAGGTATTCATGGTTTCCTGACTTTAGGTTCACCTAAATTGAGGATTTTTCAGGATGTAGTTTTGTTAAACAATGGCTAGACTTTGTTGAAGTAATCAACCTTGGGCCTATTGTTTCCATATCTGAGTTTGATGTTAATGGTATCTACTCAAAAATTCTGCTTTTAATCATATGCAAAAGGAGCAACTAACAGACCTGTTTAGATCAAGCCCTAGCTATTAAAATCAAAAATGAGATAATATTAACCTTCCAACTGGTTTCTGTCATCAGAACTATCCTCCAAACTATCCTCCTCACTAGAGTCATATCCCAGATCTGGATTAGAGAGATCTTCACTCATATTTAGTTCATTTCCATGCTCAATACCAGCTTGTGCTGTCTGCAAAGTACCTGCATCAAAACATTTGTAAAGGAAAGTTTTTCCTCAGCACATTTTAATACTTGCTGATATTTATGAAGGACACTATAATTCTTTGCCACAGTCAGCACCTTATTATTTCAAGCAAGACAAGAATAATGGATAAAACTTTGGATCATGAGTATATATTAGGCATCTGTAGGTTGGGTATCAGTCTATACTTTCCATCGACATGTCAACTGAGTGTGAGTTGATATATCAGGCAACAATCGGCCAAGTACTGGCTGATGTGTTGATCAACATCAGTTACCTCTCAACCATCACATGTCAGTTGATACTCTGTTGACATGCAGCTGATACTTCATCGACACCTGGCTGATACTTTACAGACACTTGGCCAGCACTACTGTCACTTGGTTGGCTCTTGTTACTGAGTCCTATCTCCTATACTCAGATGTGCTATATGATGATTTAGTTATAATTAACAGATGGTAATATGACTAATACAGACCTTAAACAGATGTGTACTGATCTGCTAAGTGCTCAGTGCACAAAAGGAGTAAAAACAGGTTTTACAGGCATGAAGATGACCTGACCAAACCCTTCCTTCCTCCTATTGAGTTTCATTTTTCTAACTGAATGCCTTGAACAAGCTAACCTAGTCAATACCAATAACAAAACAGAGTTACTGTTAAATATGGAAGACATGACCATGTAGTACTCTCTAGAGTAGATGGTGGGCTGGATCCCTGGTGGAGAGGTCAGAGCTCAAGTTCTGAGTAGTGTCACTCTATTGTGTTTGTAAGGCAACAAAATTTATTGAGCCCAACATTACGTCTCTATCAAGTCCAAGGAGTACCAAGTTGGAAAGTAAATTGTCACAAAAACCCGATAAAATTCAAAGAGAATAACCATGAAGGACTAAAATCAAAAGTAATAAGTCAGGGGTAACCAATTTAAACTTCCATAGATAATGAACACTCAAGTTAACCGTATTTTTTCAGAAAACAAGTAAAGCGAGGTACTGCAATGTTCATAATCGATAAAATCCAGGAAAAGCCCAAGAATGAGCTGAGAGGAAAAATTCCCACCTGTTCGTAAAACAATCATATGATGCCGGTAACGTTCAAGAGTTTAAAGAATTGACTTACAAATACATGAACACGTACGCTTAACTAGCCAAAAGTTACCAACCTTGAGGTAACCGTGACCTATCAAACTGTGAAAACAGTACAAAAGAAATCTGCTCGCTGTCGCCAAGAGTAATGGCAACCACAGCTTTGGTCTTGCCGTCTTTGCCTGTGATGGCAACTGGAGCTCCAAGGCCTCTTCGATTATGGCTGTAGATGCTAGCACCTTCTATCTTCATGGAATTAGGGTCAACGAGATATGCTTCTTCGTCTGCGATCCCCATCAGCTGGTATGGTCTTATGGCCCATTAATTTCCGGATTCCTCACCAACGTGACAGTATAATTCAGAATTTCTTAAACCTCCCTTTCCTTCAGCGCATATGGTAAATGGACGGTGAGTCAGTATACCGGAATAACGTTTTCGAAAAAAGTTAAATTTAGTTCAGTCAACAGGTACAAATGCGAGGCCATGGAATCTGTGGACCGGTTCCTTGCATATACTAAGTAGCCCCCTTCCTTTTTTCGTTTCTGCCATTTAGCTTCTTGAACCATAAAAAGAAGCAACTTAAATCACGGGATGGAAAAAACCTTTTCGCTTGTGATCAAATGTACTTTTTGATCACAATTCTTAAAGAACCCCTCCACGAGGCTTCCAATACCAACGAAGCTGTCACCGTTCCTAGTCCGTTTCTCGATCGCGCAAGTAGCTAAGATGCGCTGCATCTCCCTTCTTTCCCTCTCTGTTCTCGTTGTATGTACCGGCAACATTAGATTCGTACGGTTAAAGTCTCCACTTGAATCTGCCATGTTCCCTTCCCAAATCACGAGGATACACTCAGTTTTACCGCTATACTAAACTTTATAGTAGTCTTCAACAACCATGAACGCCACAGCCCGGAAGCGCTTGAGCCCTCGTTTTAGTAATCAGCGGTCAAAAGTAAGGTAAGAGAGCATATCATATCTGGTGAGCAGAATGTATTGAGAATGATAACACAACAGAACCAAACTGACTCGAACTCTCGAGGGAAACCAGTAACGGTTCGACCTAGACGGGGTTCAAGTCAGCTGATAATAACTAACTAGAATGCTGGGGTGAAGGAAAACGGAATTTTGCTCGAGTTTCCGGGGAGTTCTGAGTAATGTGAGTTCAAGATAACGTAGTTCCATTGTTTATCAGTTAAGACCTTTTGGGTAGTTCAGGCAAGGAACTCGTGTCATATGTATACAAAGACTTTTACGAGTGTAATTAGTTATCTATGGATATGCAAAGGTCTTCATGAGTATGCAGGGGCTGTCTGTGGGTGTACTTTAGTATTTATAGTTAAACAAGGGTTTTTAACCCTTTAACTCCCAAGATCTGATTGTCAATTCTCCCCTCCACCTGCTACACATTCCTTGTAAAAAAGTTATAAGAATTTGGTGCAAGATCAAGGCAAAAAATTCTACCTGATAAGTTTGGACATTCTCATCACGTTTGCAGATACATGCACAGATATTTTAGGGAGAAGTTGCATGTTAATCACTTTTGGAAGTTAAGGGATTCAGAATTTACAGGGGGTATTTGTTTATGGAGTGCACTTTATTACCAAATAAATGTGAATATTATGGGATATATGGATGCCTCTACAATACCTTGACATGAATTATAAACCCTTCTCCACCAGTGAATGCCCCAATATAGTTTGCCTCCACTAGGGTGGAGAGGAAGGAAGAGAGTACTCATGAGAAGATCATAAGAGATAAAGGTTTATAACAAAGTCCTCAGAGCAATCTTTATTCAGAACTTATTTGCCCAAGGCATTCGCATTTTGCTTTATCAGAAAACTGCTGTTTCTTAAAGAAACTATAAATCCAAGCTTCAAAATAATACATGTATATTTTATACTGAAATGCTACTTAGCCCAAATGAATGGCCATAAAGTATACTATTTGCAGAGCAATAAGATTGCCTTTTCCATTGATAAAAACATCAGACTAACAAGATTGTAAGAAAAAATCTCAAACTGTATGCAGATTCCACATCTCATTCATGACCTGAGATGATGAATTGTGGAAGGATTACCTAAATTTTAAGCTATCAAACTTGGATAATCCCTATTACAATTTCTTACTTATGAAGTGTGAGAGCTGAACTGGTTGAATGTGGTGGAATAACGGCCCAGGTTAGCAAGGTCCATACAAAAAATGATCGATGGCTAATTTTTCCCCAGTAGGCCCTGGGAAAGCAAGGTTAGCAAGTAGCTTATCACAGTGTATCTGATTTACCTCAGAGCTGGGTTATACACATGTCAGAACTGAACGTCATAAACGCTGTTTTGTAAACAGATGCTTCTTCAATTTTATCTTATTGTTATTCATACATTCGTAAATAGTTTGTAATTAGCTTTTTATAGCAGTTAGTTATATGAAATTGTAAGTCCAGACATATGACTCTGAGCATGTTCCCTTTGATATTTACTACTACTCAAAATAGGGTAAAATGTTAATCTAGGATTAAAAGTTAACTTTGGTTTTAATTTCTTGTGTAGAGGATTGCCATAAGAGTTAGGCTTTTGTTGGGTTTTATCTCAATAGGACTAAAAAATAATGGGAAAAAATCCAAACGAAAAATCCCTTTGCAGTGCTATATGATCACATGTTATAAAAGTAACGAAAAGAAAACCATCCTACGAAAAGTTCTAAAATTCATCGAAAACATTTACAGGTAACTTTTTCAACGATCATGCGTGATGTTTTCTTATCATGTACTTAATACAACTACGTTACAAGCTTAGATAGTTGTGACATAGTAGCTCGTCATTACGTACATTGGCTTTACATCGTTCAGGGCTGAAAGATTGCCTTATAGGCGACTTAAGTAAAGGCGCGATTAACTCTTTTGCTCAAACTCTCTAAATGTTGTTGAACGTAATCCTTGCGACTATGCTTTAAATTATCTAATGGTGTCAATGTCAAAATTCTCAATTACAATTTAATGGACTACACTTAACAAGCCTAGCTTGCGAAATGTACAAAAACCTATTATTAAGGGTGCGTTCCTTTGGGATGATCCGCATTAGGTTTTCTGATCAGTAGCGTTCCTCTTCCACGGCGAGTGTCATTGCTTTGATCATTGTTTTGGGGTAACTTGGGTTTGTCTCGGCAAGAATTTTCTGTTTTACCTCACTGCCCTTTTCCAAGTTTCTTCAGATAGTCGGTCAAGCCGAAATTTGAAGCCATCTTACCTTTTCGAACCTCTCTTACATGGATAGCTGTGCTGGCCAAAGCAAGCTGCTGGTAGTCCAAAGACTGTGCAACTTCTTTTTCCGTCTCGTCATCAGTGACACCAGGAAAAAGCCTCAACAAAGAGCTGGCGTGATTAGGAAGCATCCCTTCGCTTACTGATATGAGCTGAATTGAGGAGCTTGTCAAAGGAATAGACGTGGTGTCTTGTGTTGTTATCAGCAATTGGCCCCTCACCCATTGTTGGTTTCCTGGACCTGGCTGATAAGTATGTACATGAGACAATCTAGTAACATTATCAACTACCAGCAACCAATTTTTGCGCTTGTTAGCGTCATGAGACTTCCAATTTTCTTGTCTGCGCTCAGATCTTTGCAATTATGAGCGTCTGTAACTGAATAATTTGGACGTCTACATTGTCGAGCGAAAGAGACATGCGATTCTAAAACTGTTTTTGAATCTCTGCATTGAGCGTCACGACAAATGGAATGGCAGGGGGAGTTTCTTCGCCTTCGTCGAAGAATCGCCTAGGAAGGACTCAGAATTTTTCTTTATGCCACGCTCATGACAAGACGAAAAAACATCTTTCTGAATCGTCTAGCTGTTAGACAGGCCTGCTGAGATTCTACACTTCCAGGATTTCCAGATAAGTACAAGGTGCTTCAGCTGTCAATGTTTGCACTTTTTCCGGAGTGCTTTGAGGTGGTGTGATTATACCTACTCCAGATTAGTGATGGGAGACTTCGTCCTGTAAGATGTCAATTTTCGTCAGAACCTGTCTTAACTCTTCCGATGGGAAAGTTGTCGTATTTATGATTTCACGGATATTTTGAGTGGGAAGATTGAGTGCGTGAAATGCAGTACTTATATTTGAAACCACATTTTTAAAATGTAAGCTGGAAAGGTGGCCTCGTGCTATATGCGCAAATTCTTCATTACGAAGTTTTCTGAGATTATTCACATTTGATTGAACAGCTGGACTGAGACTGTGGATGCAATCGGAAAAAAGGATTGCATAAAACAGCATGGTACAATCCCATTCAGCTCTGTTACCCTTTTTTATAACTCTCAAGAAATGGGCGTTTCTGCTTCTATTTCGATCCGATTCTCCGCTCCAAAAGTCCATTCCATTTTTCGGTTCATCTTTCCATTCTCCCAGGGTTGCCTTGTAGCGATTGTCCCATTCTCGTTTAAAGATTTCCCGCAGGCCTTCAGCTAATTCATCAGTGACAATGAAGCAAAGCTTGAAGTAGTTGATTTGCTCTTCGGTAAACATTGATTTGCACCGTGACACTGTGAGAAAAAAAAATACTATTTTCAACCAACAAGAAAAAAGTATCAAAATGAACTGCATTTCAATGAGCCTATAATGGTATTTAAATACTTCTACGTTTCAATCAATCTTTGGGCAAACTCCTGGTCGATTAACAACCATATTGATGATTCCTGAACATTGAGAATGACGCTTCTACTTGAGTTGAGATGAAACAAGTTCAGCCAATGTTTTTCCAGTTCGCCTATAGGCAATCCAAACTGATATTCCACAATTCTTTCCATTCATTCCCTTCTTTAGCATTTCCGATTCTGTGGACAATCGAAATGCGCTTAAGTCGCCTAAAACTTGGCTAAACTAGCCGCTTAAATGATTGCAAAATAGAATCGGGTCAGTCTTGTTTTGTAAACGAAGCATCACCTCCTAAAAATTCCAATAAGTTTTTGCCATATTTCCCAAATATTTTTTCTGTATTCTTTGCGGTCTGTGTAGTAAGCTTCTAAATTTCCGGTCATCAGAATGATTGTAAGATTGGAAGGGGCCCTGACCATCGTTATCTTTGCATATTAAATCAGATCTACGCTTCTCCCTCTCACTTGTGTCATCTCCAGCTCTAAGCTTTTTGCTCCCATTGTTGCTAAATCCTGGATCTAGACTACTCCCACTTGTAATAATTTTTTGGGAAAAAAAGTAATTTTGAAAAATAATCTGACATGATATACTTTGTTTCTTTAGATAAAGCCCCTTCACTTTGGTTATAATCAACAGATTGAAAATTCCAAATGCAGACCTTGAGCAGATGAGTACTGATCCACTGAGTGTTTTAGAGTGTTTTCTTTTCTTGCGTCTTCCCTGTAACTTGATGTGAAGGAGGCACAATCTGCAAGAAAAAAAATCATTGCTTGACTAAGAGAGTCCTTTCCCTCTCAATGTTAATGAATGGTACCTGGAATAATAAAGAATTCCACCCTGCTGGCAAAATTATTTTTTAAAGGAAACCTTGTGGTCAAGATACGCAAAGATTACGCATTATAGTAAGTCCTTCTCTTTCTTTTTCTGAAAGTCAGAAAACACACATCGCTACCTCTGTATCTCTACCTTCTTCTGAATATTTTTTATTTCGAGCAGCTCCTTATAATCATCGTAGCGCTGCAAGAGGCGCGTTTCTCCGCCCCTGGGAAGATCTGAGACGAATATGGGTGAGGTTTGCCGGGGGTCTGGCACTAATTATGAGTGCTACCTCTCACCGACTCGTGTTCCTCAAGGACAGGCTTCGTATTTTCCCACGGACGAAGAAACGCTCGGGCCGCAGCGCCAATAACGAGGGCTGCTCGCAGGTTATTCAACTCTTACAAGGCACGAATTCCGGTTTTTCTGCTTAGCCTATGGCTTCGGCTGACCCAAACGTTGACAATTTGTCAGATGCAAACATTGATTCTCATATTGAGGATGCACTTTTAAAGTCATCCAGTATTCATTTAATTAGTATGTTCATGTATTTACGGATATATTTTTGTACCAATTTTGTATCAACTTTGAGACGTATTAAATTTAAAATCAACATTTTGTCTAGTTTATCAAGTTTATAGTGGTTTCAATGCAGTGTTTCTTTGTGCAGTGCATTCAATTTGAATGATAAAAATGTCCACGTACTCATAGCTCGTTAATTATCGGGATTTTCCTGTACTCTTTCACAAACAATGAACTCAAAATTTTCAATACCGCACTCGGCAAATTTCTGGCTCATTGTTTGTGAACTCGTGCAGATAAATCTCGATAATTCCCTCGCTGAGAGCGTTAGCTTGTAAATAACTTTGACTTATTTAAGGCGAGCAAAGTTAGAGTGGAATAAAGTGTTACCGATGAGGAGTAATTGTTTCAATCAGAAACAACTAAAGATAATTGTGAAGTAAGCTTTTAAATTGCCAGTCATCAGAATGATCGTAGGGAAACCCGTACCACTGTCATCTTTGTTTACTGAATCAGATTTACGCTTCTCCCTCGTATTTTTATGATCTCCAGCTCCATCCTCTCTGCTTCCATCATTGCTACATCCTAAATCCCGACTAGTCCCAGGGGAAGAAAATGACGAGTTTTCACCACTGCCACCAAAGGACGGACCTATCAAACAATAACAGATTTATGACACTGTTATTGAAAATTGAGCTTTATCTACTTACAGCGAACTGACTCCAAAGCAAATCAATGGAGGCGGAGTGGCCAAATGGTTAACATGCTGGACCTGTAATCTGATGGTCCAGGGTTCAATTCCTCTTCTCTACTTCTCACTGGATTTGTTCTCGGTGCTCGAGTTCAACTCCTCGGCTGTGCTGTGTATTGCCAATAACCAGCACTTATTTATGTTTATTTGAAATATTTTTTTCTCTCTCTTTTATAATGTAAAGCCTAACAGTCTTGCAAAAAGGGCTAAATAAACTGTAAACTTGTCTATTTTTTATTTATTATTTTACGACAATTAAGTTACCCAATGCCAGGCTGACTCACGCACCTTGCACTGCATAAAATGTATTGCCCTTTCTCAAGGCATAATTATTTTCACAGCGCAAATAAAGAATACACTAAATATACTAAATAGAGTCACTGCAGTGTAATTCAATATAAATTTCAGGTCAAAATGATTTCAGATTGGTTTAAATCGTTTCTAATTCCTTTGTTCTAAGTACATTACCATAATCCTTACACAAAGAAAGATACACACCAAACTGATTGAAATCATTTTATAACATAGCTAGTAACTTTGTCTAATCAAATTTAATTGCGCGAGCGTGCTTCATATTCCTATTGTGCACTCCCATGACGTCAGCAAACAAATTCCTCGCGAAAAAAAAATTTTCCTTCCGGTTGAAAAGGTTATAAAACAATTGGTTCATACGTCATCTGTGCGTTCATCGAGATATGAAGCACTTGGGAAGTTTAGAGAGCACTCAAGAAGCTAGAGTTGCTCTCGGCTACGCCTCGAGCAACTCTTACGCATCTTTCGTGCTCTCCAAATTTCCCGCGTGCTTCATATCTCGATGAACGCACGCGAACGTATGAACCAATTGTTAATTGACCAGAATCATTCACCAAAAACTACAACAAGTACACTGTACCTTGCTGTGGATTTGAGTTTTGCTGATCATCAATATCTTGTCCACCTTTTTGATCCAAGTCTCCAAACTCTGCTCTGGCTACTACTCTACCTTTATTCTGTATTAGTTTAAGGAAACAATGTCCTTGTCCTTCACCTGTAAAAGTTAGTCATAAAAAATCAAATTTCACCTCCCTTGCCAACTAGATGATAGAAGTCTACATCAAGTCACACTGTTGAGGAGCTGTGAGCAAGAACAGCCTATATTCTTAAAGTACTCTATCCTAAATTTAAGCTATTTTTCCTTTATTAGATCTAACCTTCACAAAGCACTAAGCCAAGCTGTTGGTTGGCAAATGTCAGCTGATAAGAAAGAGGAAGACTAAAAGCTTTGCAGCAAAGACAATTTAAAGATACCTGTTCATTTTGGGTAAAAACCTGTCACTCTTTATTGTTTCTTGCATTTATATGAGCTGCTCAATCTACACAATTGCCATTCGGCACACCTTTTGAAATTGTATTCCTTATAAAGAGAACTTAGGGAAAAACTTTGTGCATTTTCCTACTTGGTTTCAGTAAAGCTCTGTAGCCGCCATTCTCTCCCCACACATAAAGTGTATCATCATCAACATCTATAGAAAGAATGAATGAACCTTTATCTCTTAAATCCCTGAGAGCTTCTCACATCTAATTTCTCCCAACAATATCACTGCTGGATCACTAATTAAGGTCATGAGAACAAAGGAAACAATTACCAACTTAAGAAGCTCTAACTTGATTTTAAAACAAATTCTCCATGTCAAAATGTCTGGAGCATAGTATGGAGAATATGCATACTGATGTGAGGGTGTAAAGGGTGAAGGGAAACTTCTTACTGTGCATTTTTCATGACAAACAATTTTGACTCATCAAAATACACTGCAAGCAAGAAAGAGCCATTCTTCTTTCAAATCCATCACAATTGGCACAGTTACAATGATTAGTCCCTTACAAAGATAGTGTACAGAGGAATGCAGTCCATCTACATTCAGCAAAGCAAATGTGATCTAATACTCAACCAAAAAATGTTTTACCTAGTTAAAGCATTAGAAAACAAATCACAATGAAGGTTTTTGAAGGCCCAGCAAAATTTAAGAAGAAAACAACTGTACTGCAGTTGAGGTAATGGGAGCTCCTTGTCCACGCCAAATCTTTTGTTCAAACATTTTGGCATTAAGACCAGATACATGTAACTCAATGACATTTTTGTTAGCTTGCATTACAACAGGAATCCTACAGAAGAGCCAGGTCCAAATCCTTAACTTAAGCTATACAACTTACAACTTTTTCACTGCTTTCATTTTCCTTCGATTGCTATTATTATAGCTAGAATAGACAGGCATTTTACTAGTCCCCTCTCATTAGTCCCTCGACAAGAGCAACAAAAAAGTTAGCCCGGGAATTATGCAAAATAGAGAACATACCTTGTCCATGCATTGGAGGATTATCATTCTCATCCAAAATCAATACAGCTTCTGCAATTTTCTTATTTGCGAAGCAGCTTGCACAATAGACTCCTGTGCCAAATATGAAAGAAAGGGAAAATAAAAATCACATTTTGAGGGTCAATCTCTACCTCTCATTTAAAGAATAATTAGCACGATATTTTAGAGTTCCTCTCATAAAGTAGAAAATTTCCAAAAAATGTGAAAGGTTGAAAAATAATGATAAATGATGACAGAAATAATGAGGTTGTTACCACACGAAAAAAGAAAGCACAATCAAAGCAGATGTAGCTCTGTTGTTTTAATGCCTCTTGTACGTGCACAGTCAGTTTAGTTTGTGTTTTTACCTGTTCATACCCTTGTTATAATAATCAGGGATTATCTTGCACAAATTAACATATGAATATGATACATTACAACTGTTTAACTCTTTACACCCTGACATCAGTATCCATATTCTCCATACTCTTATATACATTTCATTTTGTTCTAGCAAGGAGTATTTTTTAAATAATCAAAGCTTTCTTCCCTTAGCAATCATCTTCTTTTATTCTCATGATCTCAATACATAATTCAGCAGTATAACTGTAAGGAGAATTTAGATGCTGGTCGCTCTTAGGGTTTAAAGGCTTGAAATAACTATAGGAATTCTGGCAAGCTCATTGCTTAAGAGCCATTTTCTATAAGGTTATAGACCATGAAACACGAAAATGACATAACAAGTACCAGAATGCTCACCAATCCCCACTAGGTCAGAGAAAAAAAAACATTTGATATAAATCGCAAGTTGTAACCTAGGATAAGCTGTCAGATTTGTCAAAAATAAACCAATTACATTTTTATGTCAATGGCACTTGATTGATGGTGTATTTTTTTATTCTTCAGTTGACCATATCACACATGCATAATTTTAAGCAGGCATAATAAATTATTATAGTTTCAATGTTTTACATTGCAAAAAAAAAAGAATTTTCCCAGCAGTTTTGAACACTTTTAATGTCATTTCTACAAATTATCAATAAGGTAATGGACGATGGAAAAATATGGTCAATTTGCTAAATTGACAGCAGACTAAGCACCTTAAAAATCCAGAGGAAAATGTCTCCAACATAGCAATAAAATATCGTGCTTGTACCATATCTACATTACTTCATCCATGCTGATAAATAAAACATTCCAAGTACTACACCTTTTTCCCCAGACCTTGATGCAAAGCTCATTATTACATTAACAGGGCTTTTTGCTTTAATTGGACCCAGAACTACAACATAAAGGAGTTAAAAATTTTGCATGTATTTATGTCAGTGTTTAATAATTATCTAAAAGAACAAGCAATTTAGAATTCTAGTGAGCTCATTGGTTGAGAGCCATTGTCAATAAAGTTAGAGACCATGAAACATGAAAATGACATAACAAGTACCAGAATGCTCACTAATCCCCACTAGGTCAGAGAAAAAAAAAACATTTGATATCAATCACAAGTTGTAACCTTGGGTAAGCTATCAGATTTGTCAAAAATAAACCAATAACATCTTCATGTCAATGGTACTTGATTGATGATGTATTTTTTATTCTTTTGTTGATCGTATCCCACATGCACAATTTAAAGCTGGCATAAAATTTCAATTTTTACATTGCAAAAAGAATTTTCCCATCAGTTTTGAACACTGTTGGTGTCATTTCTATGATCAATAAGGCATGAATAGACAATTGAAAAATGTTGTCAATTTGCTGAATTGACAGCAGACTAAACATCTTAAAAATCCAGAGGAAAAATGTCTTCAACACAGCAATAGAACATTGTGCCAGTAGCATATCTACATTACTTTATCCATGCTGATAAATGAAACATTCCAAGTACTGCACCTTTTCCCCTAGAACTTGATGCATCACTCACCAATACAGTAACAGGACCCACAGCTACAACATAAAGGAGTTAAAATTTTGCATGTGTTCATTTCAGTGTATAGTAATTATCTTGAATAACAAGCAATTTAGAATAGAATCTCATATGATATACTTTGAAAAGGTTACTTTACACATTTTTTCATTTAATTGGTTTCATCTTTTCACCTTATTTATAATTAGCACATGGAAGAATCCTTGATACACACCTTGAGCAGATGCATACTGATCTGAATGGTTTATAGTGTCTTTTTCTGCTTGCTCTCTGTAATTTGATGTGAATGTGACACAATCCGAAAAAAAACCAAATCATTGCCTGACTAAGGTAGTCCTTGATCTTTAACTACAAAAAGAAATAGCTACAATGATAAAAAATTCCACCCTGCTAGTCAAATTACTTGTAAGAGGAATCACTACAACATGTGGATCCCAGGTAACAAGTGTCTTTGCAGAATGATGTTTTGCAGATATCATAAACATTAGTCTACTTTTGGGTATTTACCCTGTTCTCTTCCTCCTTGCCCTGATTCTCTTGTTGGCTGTTCTCCTCTTCCTTGCCCTGATTCCCCTGTTGGCGGTTCTCCTCCTCTTTGCTCTGATTCCCCTGTTGGCAGTTCTCCTCCTCTTTGCTCTGATTCCCCTGTTGCTGGTTCTCCTCCTCTTTGCTCTGATTCCCCTGTTGGTGTTTCTCCTCCTCCTTGCCCTGATTCCCTTGTACACAGTTCTCTTCCTCCTTGCCCTGGTTCTCCTCCTGGCGTTCCTCCTCCTCCTTGCCCTGATTCCCTTGTTGGCTGCTCTCTTCCTCCTTGCTCTGATTCCCCTGTTGGTGGTTCTCCTCTCCCTTGCCCTGATTCCCCTGTTGGTGGTTCTCCTCCTCTTTGCTCTGATTCCCTTGTTGGCGGTTCTCCTCCTCTTTGCTCTGATTCCCCTGTTGGCAATTCTCCTCCTCTTTTCTCTGATTCCCCTGTTGGTGTTTCTCCTCCTCCTTGCCCTGATTTCCTTGTAGGCGGTTCTCTTCCTCCTTGCCCTGGTTCTCCTGGCATTTCTCCTCCTCCTTGCCCTGATTCCCCTGTTGGTGGTTCTCCTCCTCCTTGCCCTGATTCCCTTGTTGGCTGTTCTCCTCCTCCTTGCCCTGAAATCCCTGTTAGCTGTTCTCTTCCTCCTTGTGCTGATTCCCTTGTTGGCTGTCCTCCTCCTCTTTGCCCTGATTCCCCTGTTAGCTGCTCTCTTCTTCCACGCCTTGATTCCCTTATTGGCTGTCCTCTTCCTCCTTGCCCTGATTCCCCTGTTGGCTGTCCTCCTCCTCTTTGCACTGATTCCCCTGTTAGCTGCTCTCTTCCTTCTTGCCCTGATGCCATTGTTGGCTGTCCTCCTCCTCCTCCTTGCCCTGATTCCCCTGTTGGCTGTCCTCCTCCTCTTTGCCCTGATTCCCCTGTTAGCTGTTCTCTTCTTTCTTGCCCTGATTCCCTTGTTGGCTGTTCTCCTCCTCCTACACCTCTTTCCTCTGGTCCCTGACATCCTTCTGCCCCACTTCTGACTGGTTTTCAGTGTACAAAAGGAGAAAAATGAATCTCGTGTATTTTTGTATAACAGAATAATTTATAAGCATTCAGGAAACCTAACCAAAACCTTCCTTCCTCCTATAGGGCTTCATTTTGCTAACTGAATGCCTTGAACAGGCTAACCCAGTCGATACTGGTAACAAAAAAGAGTTATTGTCAAATGTGGAAGATATGACCATTCAGTACTCTCTGGAGTGGCTGATGGGCTGAATCCCTGGTTGAGAGGTCAGAGCTTAAGTTCTGAGTGGGGTCACTCTACTGTGTTTGTAAGGAAACAAAATTTAGTCCAACAGTATAACTCTATCTGGTCCAAGGAGTACCAAGTTGGAAAATAAATTGTCAAAAAAACCTGATCAAATTCAGAGAGAATCACCATGAAGGACCAAAGTCAAAAGTAATAGGGGCAACCAATTTAGATTTCAATAGATAATGAACAGCTAATTAAGCTGTATTCTTTCAGAAAACAAGTAAAGTTAGGCACTGCAATGTTCATGATCGGTAAAATCCAGGAAAAGTCCAAGCGTGAGTTGAAAGGGAAAATTCCCAAACGTTCAAGACTTTAAAGAGTTGACTTACAATGATATGTACACGTACCCTAAACCAGCCAAAAGTTACCAACCTGAAGGTAAACGTTTCCTATCAATCTGTGAAAACAGCACATAAGAAATCTGCTGGTTGTTGCCAAGAGTAACGGCACCCACGGCTTTTGCTATGCCGTCTTCGCCTGTAATGGAAAATGGAGCTCCAAGGCCTTTTCGATTATGGCTGTAAATGCTAGTACTTTCTATCTTCATGGAATTATGGTCAACGAGATATGCTTCTTCGTCTGCGATCCCTAACACCTGGTATTGTTTTATGGCGAATTTATCTTCGGGTACCTCAACAACGTGACAGTGTAATTTAGAATTTCTTAAACCTTCCTTTCCTTCAGCGCATATGGTAAATGGACGGTGAGTCAGTATACCGGAATCACGTTTTTGAAAAGGGTTAAATTTCGTTCGGTCAACAGGTACAAATGCGAGGCCATGTGAGATGCGGACCTCTCTCTTGCATATACTAAGTAGCCCCCTCCATTTTTTGTTGCTGCGGCCATCTAGCCTCTTGAACCATAAAAAGTAGCAACTTAAATCATGGGATGACAAAACCTTTTCGCTTGTGATCAAATGTATTTTTTGATCACAATTCTCAAAGAACTCCTTCACGAGGCTTCCAGTACCAACAAAGTTGTCACCGTTCTTGGTCCGTGTCTGGATCGCGCAAGTAGCTAAGATACACTTCTTCTTCTTTCTTTCCCTCTCTTCTCTCAGTCCATGTATCGGAAGGCATGTATTCGAACGGTTAGAGGTTCCACTTGAATCTGCCATGTTCCCTTCCCAAATCACGAGGATACACTCAGTTTCACCGCTGTACTAAACTCTGTAATAGTTATCAACAACTATAAACGCCATAACCCGGAAGCGCATGAGTCCTCGTTCTAGTAATCAGCGGTCAAAAGTAAGGTAAGAGAGTATGTCATATCTGGTGAATAGAATGTACTGAGAATAATAACACAACAGAATCCCCACTGACTCGAACTCCCAAAGGAAACCAATAACGGTTCGACCTAGACGGGGTTCAAGTCAGCTGATAGTAACTAACTGGACTGATGGAGTGAAGGAAAACGGAATTTTGCTCGAGTTTCCGGGGAGTTCTGAGTAATGTGAGTTCAAGATAACGTAGTTCCATTGTTTATCAGTTAAGACCTTTTGGGTAGTTCAAGCAAGGAACTCATGTCATATGTATACAAAGACTTCTACGAGTGTAATGAGTTATCTATGGATATGCAAAGGTCTTCATGAGTATGCAGGGGGTGTCTGTGAGTGTACTTCAGTATTTATAGTTAAACAAGGGTTTTTAACCCTTTAACTCCCAAGATCTGATTGTTAATTCTCCCCTCCACCTGCTACACATTTCCTTGTTAATAAGTTATGAGAAGTAGGTGCAAGATCAAGGCAAAAAATTATACTTGATAAGTTTGGACATTCTCATCATGTTTCCCAATAAATGCACAGATATTTTAGGGAGAAGATGCATGTTAATCACTTTTGGAAGTTAAGGGTTATGAGTTTACAGGGGGTATTTATTTATGGAGTGCACTTTATCACCAAATAAATGTGAATATTATGGGATATATGGATGCCTCTACAATACCTTCACATGAATTATAAACCCGTCTCCACCAGCGAATGCCCCAATATAGTTTGCCTCCACTAGGATGGAGAGGAAGGAAGAGAGTACTCAGGAGAGGATCATAAGAGATAAAGGTTTATAACAAAGTCCTCAGAGCAATCTTTATTCAGAACTTATTTGCCTGAGGAATTTGTATTTTGTTTTATCAGAAAAAACATCAAAACGTCAATTAATGAGGGACGCGCTTAAAGATGCTGCAAAAGAAATATGAACTACCTATTGCTACCTGCCTTTTTCACTTTATGTAGACTTTACTCTGTCTCTATCACTAGTTTTATGGGCTTTTGTTTATGATTTTGCCTTTGTAGATTTACAAGCAGGAATGCGAAACAGTGATAAGTGTAGTTAAGATGTTAGTGAGGTGAGGAACTAAATCGTTTTTTAATGAGTTTCGAACATCTAAATCATTTTTAAATATTTTGCGACGTTCTAATTTAATTAGCTATTAGTTCTTCATGCGGGATGCACTTTGTGAAGGGTGTACACAATGAAAAGAATTATTCACCATTGATTTTGCTTTACTTTACTCTGTGATTGGTCCCGAAAAATCCGCGCCACTCTCGTAACCAATCAGATGCAAAACTAAAACCGACCTGGTCACCCGTGTTTTCCCGCGCTTTGGGCGGTTTTGTCGTCTCTACTTTGAGTTCCCATTGGCTCGGAAAGGTATTTTCCTTTCTTCCCATTGGCTGTTGTGATTACTTCGGTTTTGGTTATGAGACACTCAATCGAAAAGCGCGCTTACTAGTTATCATAAAGGAATGCCTGATTTTGTTTGTCAAACGAATGCCATGGAACTATTAGACTCACAGAACTGATTAATTTGAGGTTCCCGCCTTTAACGAATTCAACTTTTTTTGTTCCTTTTTTCCTTAAGGAATGATCCAAGACTGGAAGGTCTGTTACAGAATGCAGTGCGTCGCGCCTTGCAGGATATGGGACGAAGTTGTGTGCAAGAGCTTGAGAAGCAGGCTCGTCCTGGAACATAGATTCCTTTGCTTTCTTATTAGCTCAGTCCTCATCAATGCTTTCAAGAGTAACGAGTTTATATGGAAATCGAAAGGGGATGTAACGTTGTTCTACAATGGAATCAACACCAGTACGAATTTCTTGAAAGATTACCATCGGCAGTGTAGAGGGCGTCTGTCTGTCAGTCCAAACAAAGACTGTTAAATCTTTTAACTCCCAGAAGTGATTAACATATAGCTTCTCCCCATACTATCCATACATTATTTAGCAAACAGGTAATGAGAATACTTGAACTCAGGTAAAAGTTATGTTGATCTAACACTAAATTCTCGTAACTAATTGGACAAGAAATGTGTGGCAGCTAGAGAGGAAAACTAATCATCAGCTCCTCGGAGTTAAAGGGTTAAAATGTATTGACCTTGTCACAGGTCAATAAATGTTTACCCAGAGTCGTGAAGTGCATGTCCGTTGGGATTGGTTTGTATGCTTTTGTATTCCCTATTCGTGGTTACGTAAACGCGACATAATCAAAAGAAACAGCATCGTTGATTTATGGAAGTCCAATCGAAGTTTTGAAGTTTTATGAGCTGAAATTTTGTAAGACATGTTTTATCAAAGTAATGATGAATTTCAAATAAAGATTATGTTTGAACGTAATATTGCCTGGATTTTCGTTCGCGGCTGTTAAGGATTAAGTATTAAACATGAAAAGCTCGTCATCATGCGTTGCCTAAAAGGTGGGAAATGTAACACAAAGATGTGACACCAAAGGCATATTTTATGTCCAAAAAACGTCAAAATGAATGATTTCACTTCACTTGTCAACCAGCTTCTGATTTTTAAAGAGTCAAACTAAATGAAAGAAATCAGTGAAAAAAGTATCCGATAGCATCGCGTCTAAGGGCTACCATCTCGCGGGTCAGTTCGTAAAAGAACTCTAGCACAATTTTACGAAGCGTAACTTGATATATCAAGCTAATTATATGAAAAAGAAGAAGGAAGCAAAGTCAACTTAATCAACTTGCTGAAAAGGCAGGCAAATGAGCACAACTTTCACAACGCATGCGTGCGCCAAAGTGCAGCAACAACGTTCTTGCTGAAGTGCTCATTCTCTTTAAGGGGGATGGGAGGATAGTGTTCCTTGAGAGGATCGAATGACAAAGAGAGACACGAGGAAAGAGAGGAAAGGTCTCGCTGGCTGGAAGCCAGAATCCATTTATAGTGGATTTAGTTGTGCTGCGGGCCGTTCAACAGCGCACTCCAATTAACCCGTCATAAACTTGTCAAACTTTACACCGTGCAAGAAGCTGGGGCTATCAAAATGTTTGACGAGATCTGAAAGACGACGCTGACTAATCTTTCCAACTAAATAATTTATTTGTGATGCTTTGTTTTTCATGCTCTTCATTTTTCTTAAGGTTTACAAACAAGAGTACATGTACCTCATAGTTATCGATGTGGTTGAGATTGTGATCAGCTATGCGGAACATTCTCTCCAGCAATGACCAAATACTGGAAGGCTTGTTACAGAATTCTGTGTGTCGCTCCTTGCGGGTAATAGGACAGAGTGTGCAAGAGCTAAAGAGGCAGGTCTGCCCCGAAACATATATACTATTTAAGAATGCGCGCTGTTCCTTTTTGGTAGTAAAAACCTAGACTCCTTTAATGGCACATACTTAGTATGCAAACTTCTGACTGTGTTGACTACAAGTGACTGGGCAAGAATACAAAGCCGCTAGTTATAACAGTCCTCATATAACCGATTGTAGATAGTTTAATCTTCTGCTCGCTGCAAATTTGAAGAAAGAAATTTGAAAGAGTTGCGTTATACATTTTCTGAAAAGGATAGCTTTACGGCCTTTTTGCTTTTGTAGGACCACTTTTCTTGATTTACGGAAGTTAGTTTACAAGCGTCAATCAAATTTCTGTATCGAAATCACAATCAAATGAAAACGCAAGCAGAGAAGATCACGTTATTGTAAATTTACGTAAATGTCCGTGTAACTAAATTATCATTGATAAATAAAAGTATTTTCACTGTTGTTGTTTGTTTTTCTTCACGTGATAACCCGTTGATAATACATATTATTTAAGTTAAGAGCTCCTGAAAATGAAGAGACCTCCAGACGGCGTCTGATTCCCCTTCGCTGCCGAGTGCTTATATTCACTCCGGCTACTTGAGTGTTGCTCAGATCGGCATTTCAGGTACCTCAGAGGTACCGATCTCTTGTCTCTTCTCTTGAGCTACACTGATAGTGAACAGTTATCACTCATGCCAAAATCAAGACTATTGTAATTTGATAAATCCTGAAACTTAAATGATTACTTCAAGTTTCAGTCTATCTGACAAATAAAAGGTCACACTGGGTTCAAATGATTCATCGTGTAAAAAACTCTTCATATCCTAGACGAATTCTGGCCTTCCAGTTTCAATCTGATCCAGGTGAACCATAGTGTTCGATCCTAAGAAGACGTTTCCTCCACTTCATGTCGTGTGCTACCGTTCTTATTTTGGGTAAATGAAAATTCACGAATGATGAGAGTCCCGTGAACCATGAATGTTTTGAGGGCTTTTCTTTGAAGCAAGCACTGTCTCCAGCGAATAGTTTGCAGTGATTATCACAACACGACTCCGATTCTGTGATGTGTACCTGAGTTTTGCCAAGCCGGAAATAAATAATGGCACTGAATCCCCACTTTTGGCATCCACTCGTACTCACAAACTTCTTTAGGAAGTCTCCAAGTGGCAAAGGTGTAGAGTTCTCCGTTATCCTTAGAGGGACATCAAGAACATCCAGAAGTTCTACCAAGTCATGAACCATCGAAATGTTTAATGCATCAACAATGACAACGAAGAAAACTGACTCCCTTAGTTGAGTTAGCTCTTTCACGTTCACGTTCATCTTTCGTAAAAGATTAATGAACCGATTGTCAACCAGGAATATTCCCCCAGCACAGTCAACACAAAGTTTCAATAGTTCATTTTTCGACTGAACTTCTTCGAAGCAATTGTAAACTAGGTCAATAAACCTGTACTGCTGATTCGATAAGTCGCACAGACGCATGACTGTCTGGTGTTTTTCTTTAGGAACTGCTTTACGAAAATCCAATTCTGGGTGAGAATTTCTGACTGACCTCAAAAGCTCAAATACCTTCACTGCTCCATTATCAGACAAACCACAAACGAACTGGAGTACATTCCTCAAAGCTTCACAGTCGTGCAAGTTGCAGATGTGCTGTTGAACGTCACCAAGATGTCCTTCAGGAACACATCTGTAGGCGATGTAGAACGCTGCGAAGAACTCTTGAAAGGATTTGTGAATAAAGACACCCGTCTGCCTTGGTTGTGAGCATTCTGTGTTATGAAAGCCTTGAAGCAAACCACCACTGCTACTTTCTGGTAAAATTATGGCAGTCGGTAATTGGTCATAATCTAATAAAATATCGCCCCTTAGAAGACATTTTAAGGCCACCTTTCCCATATCAACCAGGCTCTGTTCAAAATCTTCAACGTTGCGACAGATACCATGGGAAGGCTTCCATTCCTCACGACCAATAGCGTCCTGAACGATTGCATAATGCAATTTCGTTTTGGATTCTGGAAGGCTCTTAAAGTTTGCTTTTTTCCACAGTGTGCAAAGGAAGAGAAGAAGAAGGGGAACTCTCGCCAGATCCTCAAGGTCTTCTTGTGCAATATAATCCATGAGTGCCTGAGCATCTGTTTTGCAACCAAGAATTCTGGTTATGAAGACCGTTCTGTATTCTGCATTGAACCCTGTGATCTCGGCACACGTGTCTGCATGTGCAACCAGCTCGTCCCTTTCGGAAGTTCGAGTTGTTATCATAACACAACAATCTTTCAGCTTATTTCCTTGGAATATCTCAAAGATTTCAGAGTCGTGCCGTGGGCGATACTCGTCGTAGCCATCAAACACAAACAAAACTTTCTCTTGGTTTGTGGCAATGTAGCTTAGGAGCTGTTCTGTTAGGGGTCTGTCTTCTACAGAAAATATACGACTGCCTTTTATGACATCTCGGAGGTTTCGAAAAGTGGCTACTTCCCTCAGATTAATTATAAGAGCCAGCTCGAACTTACTCAAGGCACCTTTGTGCTTCTCTATAACACTTTCGTCGACAACTGCAGACCACTCACGAGCCATTTTGTTCACAAAAGTGCTTTTGCCGATACCCGGAGGCCCTTGCACAACTATCCTCTTGGATCTAAATCCGTTCTTGTCTTCATTGAGAAGATCAGTGTAGTGAAACAGCTCAGACTGTAGGGACCCAGCTGGAGTTCGTTCCTCTTTCACCCAAGAGAGTCGACAATAGATTTGGTCGAGGTAGACAGTAGTACCACCCCACACAGAAGTTTGAGCTGCGGTGGTTCTTCTGTAATGTTCTGCAAGTTTTCTTCTAAAGGTGCTCACATCAAATGTCTTTAAAGAAGAAACACCTGAAAAGAAGAGACATGATAGGCTTGAAAAATAATCAGAAACAGAACTTTTTTCTGACGATAGCAATAACAGTATTTCACTCAGCGTTATCTGTTCACGCTTTTATGAAAGATGGAAGATTCGCACCATTCTTTATAGTTCCACTAGAGCTTCCGTTTAAGTTAAAGCAAAATGTTTCTTTGACAGATAAAAAGTGTCCAAAGTTCTCTGTAAGATTTACTTTCCGCACACGAGAAAGATAAGAAAAGCCTTATTCTATTGCCCCATCCATTGGGTTGGTCATTTTCCGCAAAATGACACCTCGAAGGCTGCAAACAGTGGATGCCCTACTCAGGTGAGCCAGTTGTTTTTCCGCCATACTTTCGTCGACAAGTTCAGCCCAGTGAAGAGCTAATTTCTTCACATTGTATGCACCATACGGCAAATATTACATTTTCTTACCTAAATCATCTTCATTTGTGAAAACAGACCAATTCCTTTCTTGGACTGTTTTTGCTGATTGATCTTGTTGTTCTTTTGATTTTATAAAGGGCCAAGTTATTCCACTACCTGTGGACACAACGTAGTCAGTTAAAAGAAATCAGTTCGTAATACTCTTCCTTGACTTTTTAACCCCTCGTCTAGTTCCCTGCACAAATGTACAGAGACATAATCAATACCCCAAAGTTCTTAAAATGACAGTAAAGAGTCGGCGTTCAATAATGGCCTCAAGACCTAAGCCCTACCCTAACAGCCCCCCCCCCCCCATGATCAGCAAGTCCTACTTTTCCACAAACACATTACTATCACCAGATATCGCATACCAGTCAACTCACGAAGCTTTAGAAGTCTCGTACTTAAGGCCCGAGTCTCCTTCCTTACAATCAAGGAAAGTGATCTCACACGATCTCACGTGATCTCACGCGATTTCACGCGATCTCACGCATGCTCACTCTTTAAAGGCGTAAACTGACACTTTTTGCAAATGTACGAGAAATGAAAATAGCGAAAACCAATCTGAAAAATTACTTAGCTTTGAAAGTTTTTGTATACTCTCCCTAGGGCCTTCCATTTCACAGAGATGGGCACTGAACACGGGTATGACTTCAAAATTCTCTCAGAGAGGCATCACAGAATGCCATTTCGTGAATTGACAATTAGAATTGTACTACTACACTACGAAATTGCATGTCACTTAAAAGAATAAAGATTGAGTAACTTAACTATCAAAAGCAACAAATTAGTCAATAATTATATAGAAATCACTCACTTAAAAGCCATTCGTGGCAATCTACGGCTTCCTTACGATCTGTTTCAGAGCGAGGACTAGTTGACGTCTGGGTAAAAGGACCCACCAGCCTCTGTGGTTTATTTCCATATAAAGGCACTGATGCCGCAGCAACAAGGGGCCTTTGGTCGAGGTGTGAAGCTCTGCTGTTCTTTGCACCTCCGAAATACAATTCTGAGGACTTTACAATCTCTGCGGCACCAGGAACGACATCATACGAGACCAGAGAGTCGCCATCAGAGACTGCTCCTTCTTGGTTGAAGAGGGGTGCAAGATTTGTGATCCCTTCTGAAGCAAATGCCATTTCTTTCTGACTGAGATTTAATTCACTGTCTGAAACAGAGAAGAGTTTCATTGTCAGAACTGAAGTTAACATATATATCATCCACAGCATTACAAATGCTCAACATCCAGCTGTAATTTCATCGTCAACTGGATCCACTTTCAGCAGCTTCAACATAAAGATATGAAACTTCGACAACAGTTTTAGTCTGATAGAGCTTCTCGGGACAATATATTATTCTATGACAAACATCAATCCAAGTTTCTTTTTGGGGGGGAGGGGGGTTGGAGGTGTGTAGTAATTACAGCCATGCAACAGCGGTGATTATCAACTTTTTATAGTCTAAATTTGGGGCATAATAAACGATGACTACGTCTCTTCTGACATTTGTTTTAAATGCTCTGCTGCCTTTGAGAAAACAGACTGTCTGTTTACCATGTTTTTTTAAAAGTTGTTCCATAATTGCTTAAGCTGAACATGCCTTGTCGACAAATCTAGCGAAGACAACTTGATTTTGGGTCACAGATGGGCCTACTTGTAGTGTCTGCGTGACGAGACAAAACCAAACTTTGGCCGGTGTCCGCTTAGCCCTTTAACTCCTAGACGTGATCAGTCGTCAGAAAGAAGTTTTTATCTTGATCTATCACCAAATTCTCGCGAGGAATTTTTAAGGAAACGTATAGCAGCTGAGGGGGGAGAATTAACGATTAGATCTTGGGAGTTAAAGGATTGATACAAGTTTCACTGAGATGGTATGATATATTGCAATCATGTCCAGTCAATTACTATTGCTGACATTAATTACCATAATTGTAACAAACTTGTTCAGCTACTTCTTTGCACTGCACAAGCCTATGCTGTAATGCAGCATATACTTGGTAAGCTGCTGCACAACCATTCTCCATTTTCCAGTCCATTAACATTTGATATGCCCTCACACACTGCTGCCAGTGCATTTGCTCCACATCATGTAGTTTTGGCTCCTTGACCCCAAAGAGACGCCCAAGCTTTTTCAACTTTGAATCAACTCGGTTGGCTAATTCTTGCAATTCTTCATATGCTGGTGTGCCCTGTTTAACTGCAAAAACCAAATAACGTCTACAATGTCTCTACCATGACCAGGTCTTTTAAAAAAGATTAGCTAACCACATCATACGAAACAAACGATAAATTTTCGCTTTATTGTAGGTTCGCCCTACCACATGTAACAGATGTGCCCCCACAATTATCAGTTTGCGCCTAATCTTTCAAACAGTTCCTTACGATAGAACTTGTTCCTTACCTGACTAAATTGTAACTTCTTTCAATCAACATGCAGACTGATTGACAAAGTCAAAACAAAGTTTGAAGTGAATGCAAACTTCTGACTGTGTTGACTGCTAGCGACTGGGCAAGAATACAAAGCCGCTAGTTATAACAGTCCTCATATAACCGATTGTAGATAGTTTAATCTTCTGCTCGCAGCAAATTTGAAGAAAGAAATTTGAAAGAGTTGCGTTATATATTTTCTGAAAAGGATAGCTTTACGGCCTTTTTGCTTTTGTAGGACCACTTTTCTTGATTTACGGAAATGGTATGACACTTTTCATAAATGTGATTTATTAAAATTATGGAATATTAAACACCATTTTAGCCATTCAAACTTTCAAATATTAATTGACAGGTAGGTTTGTGTGAAAGACAGTCAATTGGCTTAGGGTTTGCGGTCAATTCGCCACCGCAACAAACTCGCCTCCACAAAACTTGCCATCACTGAAAGCCAAATCGCCACCGGTGGCGATTTGACTTTTTCGTCAGCCTCTCGTATGAAACGTACATTAAATAAAAGCTAAGATGTTGTAGTACATTGCGAAAAGGGAAAGGGACTGACAGCAGATATGTAAAGCCTTTCAATTATGGGAAGTTAACCGTTAAATGAAATAAAACTTGTTGATATCACGAAGATTATGATCAGTTTGCGAAAACTGAAACCATAGTGATATTCGCCAAGTGATTTTCGCCGATTTTTGTGAAATCGTGTGCAACTGACATAAAATAAAAGCCAAGAAGTAGTAGTATATTGCGACAAAGAGCGCGCACCACTTCAGCGATATTTACAGAAACGGACTTGGCGTCCTTTCATTCTTCAAAGCACAAGAATGTCGACGGTACCTTTAACACGAGTTTTTTCCTTACAAACACAATTCGAATTTGAAACTCACATAATTTGAAAGCCTAAATTTTGAAGTTTTACTAATTTTTTAGTTTCGATAATGCGAAATGGAGAGTGTACGCGCAATTTTGCTGAAAGCGACTTGGCGTCCTCAAGGGGTCCCTGAAGGGCAAACGGATCAAACTTGGAATTAATTAGAGTAGTAAGTAGTATGTTGTCAGCGATGTTCCCTCCGACGGCCGCATTCGAAATTTTTTATCAAAATCGTTGCAGAAGGAAGTATAATCGTTAAAAGGTTCTTTCTCTAGATTTCTAAAATCTGATTTTTTGATTAAAGAGCACACCCTAAAGGAAACGCAAAACAAAATTTTGGCTGTTAAATTTCCCAAATTCAATGGCGACGGTTGATGAGTTAACAAGTGCTCAAATTGCCCAAAATGCGCTATTAATGTCATAATATACTACTTTATCTTACTTTTCGTTTGAAGTGAATTTCATGCGGTTCAGTAAACACCGGCGACAATCACTTGGCGAAAATCACTCCGGTTTCGCTTTACGCAAACTGATCATAGTCTTCGTGCATAATCAAGTGCTCAAAGTTTTTGTAGATACAGTAAAGAGTCGGGGTTCAACAAATGGCCTCACGACCTAAGTAAGCACACAATCGGTCCCGACTGGCCATACGTTTTGGCCCGCTGGAATCCCCCGCGGCCTACAAAAGAAATAGTTTTTACCTGATCTTATCTTAGAACTTCCCTCTGACTCAAAAGCTTAGCATTTTACAAAATATCGGCATGGACTTGGAAGTCTTTATTAGCTAGCTGGTGGTATTTTTCGCCTTATGAGAGCGGCCAGTTTCCCATGATGGACTTCACATCATGATAAATAGCTGTTTCACTCGTTGGCACCCGCTGTTATTTTATAATCATTTTCTTTTTTTTAACTACGAGTCCCTCGGATATAATTTTGTCACAGTTTAACCTTTGTTATGTCGAGCAATAAACATCGAGTGGAATCTTTTGGAGTTAAGTAAGCAGTTCTTTAACAAAGTAATGCATTACCTGACTGTCCAGCAAAGTATAACTTTATTCTAGAGAACAAAGAAGAGGTAACTTGGGAGATAAAAGCCAATCAGATTTTAAAATCAATATCTCTACAAAAGCTGTGTCAAGTATGCAAACTACTACTAACCTGGAGGCTTATCAAGGTTGTTCAGTTCTTCCTCTCGTTCTTTTCTACCACAACTACGTTCCTTACGGTTGTTTTCCGTTTTCATTATGATAAAGGGACCAGCCACTCTCTCCGCATTGTCTAAACACGGGGGCACTTTAGTTATACCGACTATAAGCCCTCGAATGTAGAGTGAAGCACCGATGTTGTTTCCAACTTCAGAACCCCTTTCAAAAGAATTTGGAGCCTCTCCAGCACTATTTGTTACAGCGGAAGTGACAATGTGGTCATTAGCGGGGCCGGCTCCTCCTTGGTTGTAACCTGACCAGTAGAATATCATTTCATTCAAAAGAACAAAGAAAACGTGGCTTGACCGATTAAAGCCAATGACATCGATGAGCGTAAACAATTACTTACCCAGAGGTTTTTTAAGTTCGTCTTGTCCTTCCTTTTGATCTGTTTCACTGCAATACCGTTTCCAAAAGGTGTTTTTTGTTGTCGTCTGGATATAGCGATTCATCAAAGTCCCTGTATTGATTTCACATGGGAGCGATATGGTCATACTGTCTGTGGGCTCTTGGTTTTGGCGTTCGGCACTGCTGTTTGCTCCACCTTCAGAGCTTAATTCGATAGCATGTGAAGTCTCTCCAGCGACACTCATAACAGCAGAACTGACAAAATGGTCATCTGCAGGGTCTGCTCCTTCTTGGTTTGGATGCAATGCAACATTTGTAACAGCGTCTGAAACAAACACAAGTACCTCCTGTTTGTGATGCAATTGACAATCTCTTACCGAGAAAAGTTTCACGATTCAAGATAAGTTTACTTTCTTTGTCAACTCCACGCTGAGATGCCATTTCTTATCGTGGACATTTTCAGGAGTTTTACTGTGAGGATTTGAAAGTATCTGGGACAGCAGTTATTGCCTGATAAAGCTTTTGCGGGTGATGAATCTTTGCATTACAACTATTGGTGGAACTGCTTATGTAAGTTGCGTCAATTAGAAGTCCTATGGATTGTTTAAATCTGGGGTATAATCAACTTGTACTACGTCTTTCATGTTACTTGATTAATCAACAGGTTTAGACTTTGTTGCTTTTAAGAAGTACAGGTACATTTGATCAGCATCTTTGCTCAATTCAAATAATAACAGATAATGCTAGATCCATTTTACCTTGAGCCGAGTTTACAACAGATTTTTCGGAATAATCAGTGTAGGAAACTCTGGGATTACTCTTTATCTCCACATTATCTGTACCATGAGACAAGGATTCCATTTCCATCTCAGAATCATCTCTGTTTGTGAATAAAGATCCACCCTCCGCCTGTCGTTCTGTTCCTGTCTGATGTCGTTGACTTTCGGCTTCGGTCGCGATTGAATCACGAGAATCATTCTTATCTAGTGATAAGGAACAACATGGTTAGCTAGAAACCTTATCAAAAGATACTGCATGGTCTTCAAAATGAATTTTAGATGTATAACGATCTATAATTAATCAAAATGAACAACAGCTATGTTGAAATGATTCTGAAAGCCTGAGTGATAGCATAACAACAAAGTGGGAGTAGAATTGGTATGGCAAAAATCTCGAATAGAAACCCTCAAAAATTACCTAAAGTAATTTGCCCTATGTCTCCATGTTCTGAATCATCTAGTTCACCACCATTTGCATTAGCGTCAGCGGGTGATGGCAATAGTGATGCTTCATCATCTGCTTCGTAGTCACTCTGATTATCATCACCATCTGGAGAACTTACCAGTTGGGCATCGTCAGTACCTGGTGTAAATAAATAAAACAATAATTATGGTCAGCTATAACCTACTTCTTAGCCAAAAAAAATTGTAAAAAATTCCTGACAATAAGGTTACATGTATTATATGATCTCCTACCTCAACCCCCCCCCGAAAAGACACTTAAAGGATCTGTTGATAGTCAGTATAACAGTAGTAACTGGTTGAATAAACCTCTACTGAAGGAGATATGTTGTGCTATCTACCTCTACCATATGATCAAAGTGAAAACTTACAAGGTAAACAAACTTTCTTCTCCACAGCGTGCTCAAGCTCTAACCAATTAACGGTTTCATAGCTGTCTTCACTGCAAACTTCTTTTGATAGCCTGTAAGAATGAGAAAATGATGTAACGTGTACAGTCTTAGCGAGCTCTATTGGATATTCTTACGACTTCTGTGCAACATTTCAGATATACTGGATCATCTTGCACAAACTAAACGTATAACGTATGGGTGGAGAAAGATACTGTAAGAGGAAATAGCTCACTGGGAAAGAACAAGAGAACACAGCGGTCCTAATCTCTCGATCTGGAGTCCATTGTAAGGATCACAAGGTTGTCCAAGTTTATCTTACCCTAGAATCTGAAAATCGGTGACTCCCCTATAATCTCGGCATTAGTTTTCGAGTGGAAAATAAGGCTCTAAATAACCTAGAAAAGAATTATCACCTTTCATTCACATCCTCAAGGAAATCTCTCAAAATGGTATGTCCATTTGCTCTAGCAACATCTCTAGGTAATGTAGAACTTTTTCTGTAGTAATTCAATATTACTCTTCCAGCTAACGTGTTAAAGACCATTTCGAGAAATTCACGGCCATTTATTTCAGCAGCTTTGTAAACAAGTAGTGTAAGAATTTTTTCAGGTAGAGCGCAACTCCTCTTATTCACATTCGATACTCCTGGTGAAATAAACACATACAATGCATGGTAATATACGAAATGTATTTTAAAAAGTAGTTTAAAAAGATTGATTGTCCTGAGTTTTCTAAACTAATTGCAGCTCAGATTAAAGAGAGACCAGTGTAATCCCTTTCAACACTCAACTTAATATTACTCTTAATTCACAAAACATTCACGCCAGAAAGCGCACCTTTCTTGTGGCAGTCGGTAAGAGTATAGGTTAAGTAGTTTGGTAAATCTCAGAATGTTACCAAGAGGCTGTGGAATGTACTCCTACTGTATACAAGAAGACTAAACTATTTGTGAATTCCATAAGACAAGCAGTCAATGTCGTAAAATAGGGTAATTTAGCTTTTTCAACAGAGTTGACAACCTAAATTGACCACCACAAGGAGTTTCAAAGCTGACATATCGAGAGTTAGCCCTTGTCGGAGCGAATGGAGGAATTGTGGATTGTGTGGGTTGTATGTCGTAAAATGGTCAACTCTAATTTTTGGTTCTCGCAAATGTAACTGAGAAGATTTCTTCAGACAACTGAGACCTGTGTAGCCGAGGTTAAAAAAAATTTTTCCAATTGTCCCAAAAGATAATTCTGTTCAAACAAGTAACTACCTGTCAATTGGCCAATATCATCATGGGTGCACCGTATTCAAGTTTTCATACGTGTGGGATTCCACTGAATCTCAGTTATGAATCCTATAGTTTAAGAAGTTCCCTAATGCGATTATGTATTTTAAGATTGCCTAACAAATCTTTGGTGGGACATGGCAATGTATCTTTTAATACAATCCATCCCTCTGTGAACTAAGGACAAGCGGTAGTAATCATGATACCACAAAACTTTAAGCACTCCTTCTTTCTTTAAAGGCACACCACTATGCTAAGACGAGGGTATCCATTACTTATCAACATTTTCAATCGAATTCACGACAGTAAAAATAACGAATAAAAGTTTTACATGATCCCTTGCAATTTTACACACTAACTATATACCTGTTCCCCCTGCACCACAAGGGGTTGCCTCTTGAATATCACTGCCACTTGATTCATTTGTTTCAGGAGGACTCGTACATGCATTGGAAATGTTAGGCCGTCCCTGCACAACTCTTAAGACCTCTTTAAGTAAGCCTTGATATTTGTCCTCGATAAATTCGAAAAAGGTAAAACCAATCGAATTTCCATTTGAACCTTCGCACTTCACAGTTACCTTCACTTCTCCAGCCTCACTAGATTCTGACAAAAATGAAACACAGCAAAGTGTCAGTAGATTTAATATCGTGTTAATTAGGTAAACTAAATGTGGGTCGGTTAGAAACAAGTTTTCAATCAAGCAAAACTTCCTTAATATTGACAAACCTGAGTTACTTCTCTTCTACAGATATATGAGCCTTGACAGTTTACCATTTCCTTTGCATTCATCATACATGTTACTTCACTTCACTGTATGTACACATTAGAAGTCTACATATAAATAAACGAATGTTTACTTACTTATTTTGCCAGTGAGGTTTAGATCATTTTCTATGTCCAAAGGTACAGTATCAATACCCTCAAATTTGGCCACAAGTTTTAACTTTCTGTACTTCCTGGGCAACCTTTCTCCCAAAACGATACAGAAGGGTATACATTTCTACGAGATTTTATTAGAAATAAAGCAATCCTTTATTTAATTAAAAGAAATATTTACAAATAATACTCATAGTTTCATAAAGGGTAAATTGACAGTAACTACATTACGTCCTCTTTGAGTGGATTTTACGTTGTTAATAGCAAATTAATTATAGTGTTCCAAGCAAATCCCTGAGCTAAAAGCAAAGAATTACAATCAAATCAACAATTGATTACCTCTATGGGTCCTGATGAAGGATATATTTTTTTGACCACTGCAACAATTAAAATAAAGAAATTAAAAGGAAGAAATTAAAAAAGTAAATCTCCATAACAATTACACCAGCTTTACAGTTAATTGTGGGAGTGAACAATGGAAAAAGGCATCATGTGTGTTTGTTTGGACTTATAATTTCATAGGAAAGAACCAATCAGAAATTTTATTTAAGAAAAACATTGGCAAAAACCTTCTGTCAATTTCAAAATTTGCGCAGAGTAGCTTGTTCTGTCTTAAATCCTTGAGGCATCAGACTAATTGTTAAAGAAGAACCCTTAAAATTCAAGTGAGCTTAGTTATACATGCTTCAACAAAAATGAACAAGCATGGCCCGAGTGCTACATGAGATGTTACTTAACAAACTGGGTATAGTAGCTGTATCTTGCTTGAGCAGCACATGGGGTTATGACCAGTACAGCCCTTGCACTCCATTAGCTAGAGTTAATTATGGTAGATAATTACTTATCAAGAAGTACAAACTGTCAAAAAAAACCCTCTTACTTCCCATTTTTCAGTTTTATTTTTTTTAACAGCCACTTTGTTTATCAAATAGTTTTTTTCTCCTCAGCTTTACCCCTAGGTGTGAGAGAGACTTAGAGACTTAGCCTTTCACCTTTGAGATGCTTAGTTACAATCAGAACATCAGCACCTTTTTTTATGTTGTGGAAAACATGTGATAACTGTTCATATGATGTTCATCTTCAATCTCTGGTTGACATCATATTTTCATCTATTTAACCATTACTTTGCTGTAAATTTTCAATCTAATCCTAACCTCCGCATGTCTGGTTTCCAAACCATATCTCCCGACCCTCCTCCAAAGTGGAGTCACTATCCTCAGATGAACTAAAAAGCTGTTTAAAGAAAAGAGATTAATTTTTTTATACTGAGTTTTTTGCTAGTTAACTTAGTTAGTTCACTATTCAAGTTTGAGTAGTAATGCAGTAGCACAAAAGGCTATACCATGCCCAAAATAGGAATCATTTTTCTAGTTTTTTTGTTTAGGATGGATGATTAAGATACTGTAAAAATTAAGCTGATTTGATCAGACTTATTTATTTTGCTTTTTTATTCTTGTATTGTTCTTGCCCATTATAAGCCCAAGAACTTTATCTTTCTTTAATCTGTTTATCTACATCTGTGCTGAAGAATTATTCATTAATGAAATAATCAGTTAAGAAGAAGATAAGTTGATAAGATAAGATGAGTTGTCCGTACCAAGTATTACGGTACTAACATACATGCGCACTAAAAAAATTAAGAATGACCCTGGAGTTGGAATTGCCTTTTTTTTCCCATAGAAGATAGGACATTTCAGGTCCATATATCAATTGTGCCATTATGAGGCATGAGGGTATAAGCAACAAATCTCCAACTCGATCTCTCTTACACGATCAAATTTGGTACAAATCTCAATAAAAATCTGTACTCTCAAAAATGAGTTCACTTAATTTGGAAACAAAATTAAAGAAATTGCATGGTCATTCTTGGGATAAATGTGAAATTACTGCAAGTCTTAAAGATTGATTGTGAAAGCTCTTATGAAAATGTAAATTGCTGAAAACTGCCATGCTGTTAACCTCTATCCACCCAGATGCTCTAAATGAACATGAATTGATCAGGCTTTAAGTTCCTGAGAATGAAGACCAGACTAAGGATGCAGTTGTAGGAAATTGTTTTGGCCCATTTTCTCGTACAATTTTGTTTGCTGAGCAGACATTTAGAAGTCAAACATAAACTTATCCCTTGCAACCTACCCCCATGTGAAAGTCTAATACTTTCCCTCCAAATGCGCATTCACCAGTACCTAATTTTGTCTCCCTTAATCCCTAAGCTGAGGGTGTCATTCAAAAGGGAGTTTTCATAATTTATATGGTGGATGATACTTACCTCAGGAAGAGTGCAAGTATCTATGGGATGAAAAGAATTATCTGTGTCGATACATTTTTTAAATAAATAATTAATGCTACAGTCATATTTACGAAGCAAAATAACCAAACAATCAAACATTATCACTTAATAAATGAAGATCAGTACAAACACATGCATTGACTCTAAAACTTGCAAGTAATAAATTCATTACAAATATATCAAGCACATTAATGTATGTATATCCTGAAAATCCCATTAAAATATATTTTGCTCTTTATCAAAATCACACAATTCATCATATGACTAAAATGGCCAATGAGAGCAATGTTATTTAGAAACAACGATGGAATCTGATGTGTACTAAACTGAAAGGTTGTAGTGAGCTGGTCCATAAGAAGCTGTGTGGCACCTGGACCACTCTGTTGAATTTTCTGAGAGCATGGATTCCTATTGTGGACTTAAACTTAAAATATGATAGAAATGGGAAAATGACCAGGTCACATTTTTTGATGCACATATGTATAGTAAACGTTTTCACAAATTTATAATCCTTTTTTTGGTAATCCAATGTTCCTTCATGTGTATTCTCATCCTTAGTTAAGGTTTAAACAAGCCAAGCCTTATTTGTAATATAACTTTTATTGACTGGTCTGTCTGGGCAGAAAAATATTTCACTCTGGGTCAGATGGTTGTACCTAACTGCTTTCCTTCCTGAAGTCATGACCTTAACCCACATATTATCCTTCCAGCCCTCCCACTTTGTCAAAGGACATTGTGTATGACCAATTACCCTACCTTCTGACTGATCAGCAGAGTTACATGTACTAGCTATAGCCACACCCATGTCATTGTTCCTGGTTGAACTCATTCCAGAGTCTGACTACACAATTGAGAAGTGATTAAATTCAGAAATCAACAAAGAAAAACCATTTCAACTTGCACATTTTTAACTCTTGAAATATAAAACCTGAGAAAAAGGTAGTGTAGTTTGCAGCCTTAATTACTGAATTTATAAATCAGGGGGCTGCAGCTTTTTGATGGACAGAATAAGTTATAAGCAAATTACCCTTGAGACCTAAGACTGCAGCTTACTCAGGCTGCTTGAAACAAAACATGTTCTTTAGGGAGAAGTGCATGTTTAGAAACAGATGGGCTTTCAATGAGAGGAACTGACCAGTAATCTAAAGTAGAGTGAGGGAGCCACACCCCGTAAAATTTATTTGTCTTTAAGCTAGTTTAATTTATGACTGAAGAAGGCAGAGGGGCCCACAAAAGATAATTTAGGATATCCAAAATTGCCCCCAAATCACTGCAATCAAAATGAAGGTTTTTGACAAAAGAAAGTGGAACCATAACTCATCCAAAAATAGCCAAATGCCAAAGATAAAATACCTCATGTGAGATGGGTGGTGGATCTGCAGTTGCAGCTGTTTGTTTGGAGGGATCATTGTGTAGTATCCCTATGTGGATAATAAATAAAGAAATGTCATAGTTTAAAACACAATTGTCAATGCTCTTGATGTTCTTTCAGAACTTGTCCTTATTGCTATGAAGAGCAGTTATACTGGTTTTTAATAATTTCTGGAAAAGGGTCATCCAAATTCCCAGGTTCAAAAAACTTAAATTCACAATTTGCACACACAATGTTACCATTATAGCAAGTTATTAAATGTAAAGATACTATGTTTCATTCTACTAATTTATCTATCAATCTACTAAATTGCCGTACTAATTTGTTCATCACAAAATTTCATCTTGAAAATGAGAGTATAAATACACATACTAATGCATCTTATTTATTTATCTACTAATCTATTTCATATATATACATAAGTACATTTTGCATAATACCCTTATCATGATGTTGGTTTACCTGACTCTGTAACACTTGTCCCTGAGGTTTGAGAAATTTGATTGTTTCCTTTGCTGTAAGCTGAACATGTTAATGATGACTGTCCTTGCCCAATTTGGCTTTGACTTGGCACTACAGGAGACAAACTGATGTCATTGTTTGTTACAGCTCCTGGCATTTCAGGCACATATATATTGTACCTCTCCCAAATTGTAAAGGAATTAATTGTGGCCCCTGTATACAAACAATGTTAATCTATCAAGTATATATTTGCATATTTTTAGTCCAGCACCAAATTTCAATCATACCTGATGCCTGAAGACCCCATTGAGATCCCACAGTTGGATGAGCAGGCACTGATCTCTGACAAATATTCCCTGAATCAAGAGTTATCTAAACAATGCAAAACACAATAAACTATTAATTGCTACTAAAGATAAAATTCATATATGAAGGAGAAATCAATAAAGGCAAGGAAGTCATTTTAATTATTATTTCTCCATGTACCAACTTTTTTTACTACACAAAGCACCAAACAAAAATATGAAAGAAACAACATATATATCAAACACTGTACAGAATCTTTATTTTCATTTAACTCCCTACAATTAGATCATGGGAGTTAAATGGTTAAGTGCTCTGTATACTTCCAAATTAAAACACCAAACAAAAAAATGACAGCTACAGAATTAAACTACATATGGAGTCTTAATCTTCAACTGTGTGATCCTTCATGTTCTGAGAAATTAAAATGTTAGTCAGTTTGAGTGAAAAGCACGAAAGTCATGAAACTACCACTAAATGGACATTATGAAAGCATCATGTCACCCTACTATGTTAAGGTGATTGTAAGTTATGAAACTATAAAGCCAAAATAACCAAAGATGTCCATGTATATGTACATGTATATAGTATATGTACATATGTTTATGAACACATTATATATGTACATTTGTATGTCCTTATATACATGTATATATGTATGTGATCCTCCACTCTGATTTTAGGGACAAAGGTGATAACAAGCTCAAAACATGCTTAGCATTTCTAATATGCACATATAATATTTTTAAACAATGAAGGACACACTATGTCTTGTTTTGGTTAAGTTGGCATGCTCATTCTTTGTTTTGTTAAGCATGATCAAAGTCATGCTTAGTGTGCAAGTTAAACAGGATAACACACTAAAGTAAACTGAAATGTTCCTATTTGTGAATATCTTTTCATTCATCCAAATCGTTTTTCTTAAACTCAATTGCACTTGACTGATAATGAGGTAATTACCAATTCCTCATTGAAATCTACACTGGATATTCAATTGAAGATCACCTAGTTAACACCAAGAAAAAATTGACCATAGATTATGGTAAGAAAGTTACTGGTGACACAGTAAAACTTCCATTGTGTACATAAGCTAAGAAAAATGATTCTGACATTACTAGGAATCCTAATTAGCCACATGCCAAATGTAAAAAAGCGGGGCAGGGCAATTTACAAGCATAAGTAAACCTGCACTTAGCCATTCTGTTCTGCAATTCTCATATACTTGCCATACTATTCCTAGCATCCTGAGTTGTTCCTGGTAGCAAACTATTTGTGTTTTGCAAAACGTACTGCTGATCTAATCCTGTCTGAATCTGTTTTTGAAGTTCTGTTGGATTTGTAACTGGAATACTGTTTCCCAGCTGTAATGCAATGAGGGTATCTTTCCTGACAGTTAAATCATCTTGAACCCAATGGTATAATTGTCTTTGAGGAGCCCTTGAAACAATTGGCTGTGATTGGTGTTCCTGAACTGAGGTTTGCATGCTAAAATTACGAAGATGAGGAGAAGATGACATAGAAACTGGAGGTTGGGCTGATGGTAAAATGCCCCCAGAAGCTTGTGTCTGGTGGCCTGGAACAATAGTGCTGCTTGTTCTGGTACATGTATATGCAACTGGAGTGGCATATCTCTGAGAGTCAGTTGCTTTGGAAAATCTGTCTAAATAAACGTTTTGTGAACTGATGTTCTTTTGGGATGTTGTTGTTGTTGTTGTTGTGGTCCTGTGGCCCTGTGGTCCATTTTGTGGCACATTTACAAAATGCAACAGCATGGGAGTATTTAAATTGCCAATTGGTGATACACCAGTGGCACTGCATTCCTTTGCCCTCTTGCATACAACTGCAGAGGCACTTCCATCATTCCTTCTTTTTCCTGATTTTTTACCTGGAAGCCAAGTACATAGAAATTATTCTTGAAAGATTTATGTGCAATGTACGGTCAGGTCTCAGTTCTCAGAAATTATATGGGATTAACTGTATTGCAATCTTCTTAATATGTATTTCTGAGCATGAAAATTTTGTATCAATCAACCCATCAATATGGCTCAATCTTTTAGGTCAGTAAACTTGACATGTACTTAGAGCAGCCATAAACTCAGAGAAAACATTAAGTCCAAAGCTAATCCTTTAGGGTGAAATTACTAAAACCTTGAGTGAATTAAGTGAATTAGAGTAGATAAGCTAATAAAACTAATGTATTCAATGCCTATACAACTTTCAGAATTTTCAATACAATTAAAGCTATGAAATTTTCTGGCCATGAAGTCCAGTAAATGTTTAACTCACATACAAATAAGATGTTCATACATTTTTCACCCCTAACAACAAATTAAGAGCTTGTTTCAACATTAAGCCCTTGTCTCAAAATTTTTCTTGATCATGCATTCACCTTTATATTTCTTAATTATATGGTTTCCAGGCTACAAGCAATCAAGCTGTACACTGGATAAATTTGCACAACTTTAGTGCACCTTAAAATCAGATGTTAATATACAGTGTATAATATTTTGTGCTGCTAGAAAGGGTATATAAAAAGCTAACCTCTACAGTTTTGGAAGACAGCTAGTAATATGGCATTACTACAGATCACTCAGACACTCCTCTTGAATATACAAATTACCTGCAAAATTCCTAGACTGTGTATGAACAGTTGGCCTCTGTGACAATGTCTCTGACCACTCAGAATTTGTCATCTGTAAAGAACCAATTATATATACAATCATATGTATAAACAACAGCCTCCATTTAATTTGGTGCAGAAACTATCCTCAGGTATTTCCTAGTGAATGAAGCTCAAGGAAAACTTTGAGCTGCTAGGAACAGATAATGTCCAAGGACAAATACACACGTATCCAAGCATATTGGTGTGCCATATGGAGGTTACTGTTTTCAATATCCTTTAAATATTTTTGCAGCACATGGGACAAAATGTTTGCCATCTGAGCTTTCTATTTACTGCAGAGTCCAGGGATGTTCACTCGTCAAAAGTATTACAAATATCTATATCAATTGGCAGCAGGTATATAAAACAATGCAATACACAGTGGTGCACTCAGACAAGGCAGCTTCTCAAGGAATGGAAATTACAATCCTTAATTATTTAATGAATAAATCTGGATTGAATGTTTGTCTACCAGTAGAGAGTCACAATCATTTGATTGCAATATTTTGACTGCCAAACATATACAGCAAGTACGACTTTAAATGACAAAACAAGGTCAAATGATAAATTAATTATGCTGTGTATAGAATGTTAAATATTCCAAAGTTGTAGAAACAAATAAATAAATATATTTTTATTATCTATTAGCTTTATAACGTACTGAACTTTATTTTTACTTCGCAATTAAACAGCTCAACTCTAACAGAAAATTTTGTCACATTTCCATAACTCAATCAGATTTTCCAGTTCTTGTCCTTTATTTTCTTGACACAACACTTTATCTTATTATTTTTCCACATACCTCAGTAAAGATGTAAAGGGCTGAATTTCCTCCGAGGGTCTTTTTCATGAATTGCCCATCCCATACTCGTGGTTCACCATGGAACTCCAGCCTTGTTCGGTTTTCAACCGCAGAGGCAAAAAAAAACCTGATTATAAACAAAGGAACAATTGCAATTACAAAATAAAAACTTACATGCTAGTCAATAATTAATATGACTGTTGCAAAAGTATTGAGAATTGCAAGAAGCACTCGCCTTTAGTTCATGCTTCTTCGCACTTCTCCCATGTTCTTAAAAATTCTAGTGTGCTTATATAACTCAACAATGGACTTGGCACAATTTTTATTTCTTATATACACATATATAATTATGAAGAGATAGGGAAAAAAACAGAGACTATACTTTCATCCCTACAAGCCTGTTTCCTTATCTTAATATACATCACACTCTACTAATCTACACATCGAGCACTGTACAATGGAAAACTCAAAACACAGACTTCCTATATATATAATATGTATTAACTTGAAACTTCTCCTCATTATGAGGAGAAGTTTCAGATTAATCACTTCTGGGAGTCAAAGGGTTAAGAATAATAAGATATTCCACCTTAATTTACAACTGAAGCCTAGAAATCATATCCATTTTGGACAAGCCATTGTACACCACTATAAGGAGTATTCCCATCCTCCTTGATGACCCTTATTTAATGATTTTTAAAACATACCATAAATAAAGCAATGAGCAAAAATTCTTATTGGGTTAGTTATTTTTCTATTATTTTGGCATGTGACTTTTTTAATAAAACTAAATCAGCATTCCTGTGTTATTACCTAAGAATAAAAAATAAATGGCATAAGGTACACACTAAAGAGTAACAACACAGAATTAATATATAGAAACTATGACTACATGCAGTGTCTTATATGACATGTAACAATAATCTCATTCATTTGAGGGTTTGTCACTGAAAAATTCACACTAAACAGAACATATCAAACTAATCGAAGTTTGGTTTTCATTTGGTGCACTGATATTTCTATAGTCTGCTTTGTATCTGTGATTTTTCCCTGTTCTGAAATATAATACTGTCACATAATTTGTACATAATTTATATACTGCATGTAGCATTCACTCAGATAAGGTAAAATACTAAAATAGTGAATACCAAACAATTATATGATTATGTACCTTTGATTTTTCAAATTTGGAAAATGTGAAAGGATTCTCCCTTTTACTTCTTCTTCTGACATATTGTCAGAAAATTTTATTCCGCTTACATACTGCCCTTTCTTTTTCTTTTTTATTTGTGCCATTTCAATTGTGTTTGGCATAAATAATTGGTCATTTCGCTTGGTAACATCAGTAGCTAACAGGACTGTAACATTGCGAGAACGAATCCCTTCCCTGCTCTCAGAGTGTGATTGTCCTTCCATTGTTATTGATAATCACACCTAGGAGGAAAATCAAAATTAGTCTGTATAATAACAAACTTAACGTACAGTAGTAGGAGACATTACTTTTTGATCAAAAGTCTAAATGTCTACACAATATTTCCAACAGAATCAGCCAAATAAAAAAAGGTTTAGTTACTTTATGTGGTGGCCAAGGATATTGCAACATTGTTAATCAAGAATAAACAACAGGCTGTAATCATTTTGAAACAAGTCAAGTTCTATTTTGTTGAAAGCTATAACGAGGATTTTGTGGAGGTAAGAAATTAGTTAAATAAAAAAGTCAAAAACAGGAAGTAGACCTGTTTCAAAATGACATTCAAAATATTGGCAAAAATCGTCATCCTTTTCTGCATTACAGACCCAACTTAGTGTCTAACGGGGTATTGTTGGGACTGAATTTACAGATGCTACAAAAATATTGTCAGGGGTTTTATTGAGAAATAAAAAATGTTCCCACCAGATACAGGATTTGACTGTTGCCCATAAACATCATGGGATTCACCAAAATTTGGGCATGATTAATGGACAATTTTTTGCCTTTCTGTCAGAAATTTGAGAAGTCATCAAGATCAAAATAAAGATTCCAGCAGCAAAAGTAAATCAAAACTGTGCTGGTGCTACAAGGTGACTCCTTTCACACCAAAATATATTATATACGTGCCTGATCAACAGGGAGATGAGCAGACGGTAGAGAGTATTTTGTTGAAAACAGATATATCAGGAAAGAGCATGTAATATATGTTAAAGCATTATGCTAGCGTGCCAATCGATTCAAAGCTTAAGCTCTTCAAATTCATTGTGATACTGAGGGAACTGCTTCAACAGTTTAACAGCGCGATATGGCTAAAGAGATGCCAGTTCTGCTTCCTTGAATAGGAGAGTTAGACTTTGGTGAAATTTCGAACCGCGAGGTCTCGGTTCGAACATAGCGCGAGGTTGAGAAGTGTCAACATGCAAAACAAACATGGCGGCTCGATACGATCGCACGATTGTCATTTGAATTATAGGTGTGCTTAAAACAATTATGTGATGGAGTCTAGGGTTTCCAGCAACTGCACCCGTAATATTCATGGGCCTTGTACGCCTGAAAAAGAGGTCAACCGAAAAGAAAACACCGTGGGAAAAATTGCCAAAAGGCAACAGATCCCGAAAATCAACGCTTTCTTAGATATAGATGTTAGCGAAGTACTTATTCATTACGTAACGTTTTGCGATAGAGAAAATAAGGATCTTTCGAGCAGGATTAATCGCGTTTCCTTCCGATTCCGATTTGATTCCTTCCTTATGATTTGCTGAACCGTTAAACATATTTGTGCCCTTCCTAGTGCCTGTTGATAAAAAAAAGTTCATAAGACCACATTTGAGATCGAGGAAGAATACACAAGATTGCAAATAGCGCGGAAACTGCCCTATAACCCCAATCTATTTTCTTCGGCTTTTAAATGATTGGCTGGACAAATTTCACAAATTGCGAAAACTTTGAGAGATTTCACCGAAGTAAATTGAAGAAAATCAAATGCAAAGCCAAATTATCGCCTCCCTTCGTAGAGCCTTAGCTTAATAACAAAAATCATTTTGATAATATTTACTACAGCAAACGATAGTCCGAACCTTGCTCATCGCGCTTTTGATGGCTTTTAGTGACCCAGAAAAGCAAAAACACAATTTTTTTTCTAAAAATACAATACGCCTGTGCGGGCGCCAACATCGAACAAAAACCCTATGAAGCCTCCTCAATTGACAAGTGGAAGTTCAGAAAATGCACAAAGTTTTCGTTCAGTAACATACCGAATGAGTGAATAGACATACCACATCCAATTACTTTAATGGATACTTCACAAGGCTTGTAAAAAAATCCAAGAAGAAGTCTGGTCCATGGTTTTAACGGTTCGCATGCTTCTGTTTACGAGCAAATCTACATGTTTGCTGATTGAATGACAAGGCGTCTTTTGGTGTGGAATGAGAGCTCATAACAGAATTTCCCAGAGAGAAGGAGAGAATTGCTTTTCTAGCGTCGATCCCATTTGGCAATGAAAGATTCTAGAAATTTCAAAGAAGGAAGGAACCGCGAAAAGACAACCATTCCGAATATCCTGTTTCCAAAAATAGCGAGTTGTGTGTGTGCAGGAAGTCAATGTTGAATTCCTCAAACAGTAAGGTGATCATTGTCGCGTGACTGAGACCGGTGGTTAGTGAGTAACCAACTTCCGTTTTTGCGTGCGCAGAAACGGAAGTGGCAGTAGTTAGTGATCAGCCAACAAGTGATTTTCGTCTCTGCGTACACAGAAATTGAAGTGGCGGTGGTTGGTGATCAAACAACAAGTGATTTCCGTCTCTGCGTGCGCAGAAACGGAAGCGATCGGTGACAAACCTAAGCGTGACTTCTGAGAGAGGAATTGCATCACGCTATCAATCACGTTTGGCGTGCGCATTTGTGCGTACATTTAAACAAATAGATTCCATTTTGCCGTGCTTCTGTCCAATGATTAAATCAAAGATAACTTCAAATTTGGTAAGAACGAAAAGGTGCCTCAAGAGGCGCAGCCGAGTGCGTAACTGATTTTAACTGCGAAGCAAATTTAGTCGCTTGATAGAGATGCATCTTTCCGCAAATCGAAGTCGTATCTGCTTTGATTTTGGGCTCCAAAAGATCTATCCCAATCGGGATGGAACGGCTAAACAATCTTGAGAGTTTTGAAGCCTCACGGCTAAACTGGACGGGAACTTGATCGGCAGCCGCTAGCTGAAGTGAAACTGCACACGTCACGGTAATCAAGCACGGCCTTGCGAACAGAGAGATGTATGAAATAAATAGCAGACTCTTTAGGAATTAGGAAGGAATTGCACGTACGCTATTATGAAAATAGCTCAAGTACATATGCATAGGAAGCGCTGTATTGCGAAAATACAGTGGAAACAAAGACTCAATGAGCTTCAATACGAGCTTACTGGTTTCTGCGGTCGTGACCGTAATCTAGGACTTAACCACCAGCTTCAATGAAGAAATGCTTCATTTGCAACATCCGAGGCGAAAAAACTGCTTTAACTCCAAGGAGACGTAAACGACATCTACAAACCAAAACTTTGGTAAAATGAAGAAGCTGAAATTGAAAATTGATTGAGTGACTCAATTTTCCTTTTTCCTTTGTGAAGGAACAACAGAAGTCAGATTTGTCGAGAGAATCGTACATCGGCATATAGTGTAGAACTCTTGTTGTAGAAATATAGTCCTTGAGTAGATCTTTGCGTGGACCGGAATAAAATTTCTTGAAAAGAAAACTACTTACTTGACTCTATATTCGAAGCTTGACTTTAAAGAAACTTCGACTCCAAGCTTGTTGCACGGTCTTGAATTTCATGTAAACTGCTCTACAGGTTTTCAACTTTAACAGTCTAACATATACGTATATCTATATATAATCACGACTGGATGCGTGCGCAAAAACGGAAATCGTTTCTGGACGTTCATGTGATCATTCGTTATGTCATCGCCTAAAAAAAGAGGGAAACCACCTGCTTCAATGAAGAAATGCTTCATTCGCAAACATCTACAAACCGAAACTTTGGTAAATGAAGAAATCGAAATTGAAAATTGCTTGAGTGACTCAATTTTCCTTTTTCTTTTGTGAAGAAACAACAGAAGTCAGATTTGTCGAGAGAATCGTACATCGACATATAGTGCAGAACTCTAGTTGTAGGAATAAAATCATTGAGCAGATCTTTGCGTGGACTGGAATAAAATTTCTTGAAAAGAAACTACTTACTTGACTCTATATTCGAAGCTTAATTCTAAAGAAACTTCAACTCCAAGCGAAGCATATTGCACGGTCTTGAATTACATATGAACTTCTCTACAAGTTTTCAACTATAACAGCCTAACATATGCATATATCTATATATAGTCACGACTGGATGCGTGCGCAAAAACGGTAGTCGTTTCAGGACATTCATGTGATCATTCGTCATGTTATCGTCATCAACGGTAAAACCTATGAAAACTACTTGAGGAAGTTTGTGTTAGCTCTAAACTTGTTTAGATAAGCTTTAGTTTACATTTCTGATCTTCATACCTTGACTTTAAGAAAATTGTATCGTCGACAAGTGACAGCTAACCTATTAAGACCCTCGTTTTCCGGTAGTGTTTCCCAATTCTTTGAAAGTGTTCTCAGAGACCTGAAATTCAAATTTCATATGATTTCTATTCCCTTTTCAAGGATCATTCATATACATGGTAATTTTGGCGACTGTTGAACGACAGTGGGTGAATTTGCTTCGAGATAAGCCTTTCCAGCGAGTTCAGACCAAATTAACAATTACACACATGCGCGCAATAGATTATTTGGAAGAATTAATATAGGAAGGACCTATCTATGAACTAAATTTGTAAAACAGTAGTTGACGCGCAACCGCAAGCGAGAACGCGACGCAGATAGCAAGCAAACGTACAAATTCAGACTTTTCCCACACTTAAGCAAAAGGAAACGAAAATTGTGGGCTGTGCGCGCTTCGAGGGATGGGCCTCAGAGGATACTCAGCAGAGAGTTTTTCAAAACTTTATGTAGAGCTAACAAGAATTGTAAATCGGGTAAATTTTATTGTAACTCATCCAAAATCCTCCGATCCCCCTCCTCCCCCCACCGCAATAAGTAATGACTAGTCCATTAGATTCGTTGATGATAAAAAAATAACGATTTTCTTTTATATTGCCAACAGTATTTCTGCCTCATACAGTACATTCTGCTACAACAAACTGCTTGCTATTCACAACAGAGTACTTACACTGTTGGCAAAACTAAAACCTTAATCGATTATAGGACATAAACAGAAGTTACAATCAAGAGAAAATGAGAGGACACCGATGAAAAATTAAATGCATTGGCCTCAGTAGATTAGAGACATTGCTTTGCTCGAAAAATGAAGCTTCACAGCTCAAATGGTAATACAGCCCAGTTAGTATCTCATTTCTCTTGTGTAAGCAGATTGCGTGACTAATTCCTTTTTTTTAAATTTTGCTTTCATTGAAAGCGTGTACTTTAGATTACTAACATCACGTTACTCGCGATGTGCTACTTAAAATAAACTAACTACTAAAAAAGAAAACAACGTCCGCTAACTCTTTTTTCATCAAACTACGTATGGCTAAAATACCTTTTTATGTTATTGTAAAAGAAAACAGCTATGTGCAGACAGCAGGAAAAACTAAAAGCTTACGGGGCAGTTTGATCACTCAGAAACGGAAAAGAGCGCAAAAACTTCCAACTTATTTCACCTGTCACCAAAGACGAAGTTTGCTAAGAAAGATTATGAACAAGACAAACAAGAAAATTGCGACCCGTTCTCTGTAAATAATCGTTTCTGCACTATTTCTTCCCCGTCCATAGCCCTGCTTAAGGGACTTCCTCCCATGCGACTAATTATATTTTATTCATTTGAGCGGAATATACAATTAAAAACACTATTCATGAACTCATACCTAATTCAGTCAAAACCTGCCAAACTTCTCTACCAATTCTAGACTATGCAAAAGGATTCTGACTCTTATGTGCATCCAATATATACCGGAATTACATTGGGAGAACTCGCGCTAAGTTCCAGTTGAACTTAATGGCACCAAAATTTAATATGATTTGCCCAAGATATCATGTAATTCAAATAATTCACGTAACAAATTAACAATGCTGTCAGTTACCCATCATATATTAAAACTAAAAGCTCAAAAGAGCTTGGCAAGGTCTTTTAAAATTAAAATATTCATAATTTAGGGTTCAATATATGCATTGTATGGTGAGACACCAAGAATTAAACAAAAAATTGTTCCTTCGTTTTGCTGAAATTTACGTAGACAAGGTAAGCTTGAAGAATACATTCAAATAGTTATAGAATATTAAGTTGACCTTCCTATAAAATCCACTTGCAGCAATTCTATGGAGATGATCAGGTTACTATTCAATGTGACTCCTCATCATTCGTGAATCCGTCTTCTTAACTATCACTGTCTCGAAACTTGTCTGTAATGAACGATTAAATAGAAGGTAATAAAAAGGTTAGGCTAAGATTCGTTTAAATTTGTTCCTCTCCTTCTACAATATTGGCCTATGGTTTATATCGCTAGTGAGTAATAAAACAATAGAGCTTATGTTGGCGAGCATTATTTAAGGCCTGACTCAGATGTCATTTAAGCCCCAGCCGCTAGGCGAGGGTTAAAATGACTCTGGAAAGGCTCCGTTGGGCCCAAAATATATTTTTCCCAAGATCATAAACTTAATTACTATTATTATTATTATTATTATTATTATTATTATTATCACATCGGGGGAAACTGAGAAATTAAAATTGAAACTGAAAAACTGACAACAAAACAGTCTGGACAACCACACGAGCGAGCGAGAGAGCTTAAGTACATTTTCCCCGCCAAAATCTCCTCTTGAGCGCGCAAAATGCGCCTTAATGCCCGACAAAGTAATGATAAAATCAGAGTTTAAATTTTTGCCGTTTCAAGTTGCTGTAAATGTCATTCATAAGCCTACTGCTAAAGATCTGATGAACCCTCAGTAACGAGTATATCTAGTTCCAAGGCAGTAAAGAAAAAAAGAAGCTTTTTTAATAACGCAAAACGAAAAGAAGTAAAACCAAGAATATTCTACAAGGTCCAACTTTTCATACTTAAAATTCCAAAGAAAGTCTTGCATTGACCTGATACAAAGTCAAGTATCATTCTTCTGAACCATGATTACTAATAAAACTGGGAACGGAGATTTGCCACTAGAGATGACATAGAATGTCACAATATGCTTTGTAGCGCAAAAATGTTTCATTTATGTGAATTTGTGTTACTCTGTTGTTTTTATGACTACTATAGGAGATAGGAATGAAGAGTTGTTCCTTTTAATGTTATTTACGAAAAGAATGGAGGTCGTTTCTTCTGGAGAGATATTCCCTTTTTTTATACTTTGAATGAGAGTGGTGCGCGCAGGTTTGGTGAATGCTTCAGGCAGTGAGCACCAAACCGAGGTACCCCACAAGCTTATTTCTAACAATGCTAGTATCAGTGTCGTCAGTTGTATTGTTTCCTTAGTCCGTGAGCATGCAGGAATACAAAAATCGATCCGCAGTAACACATGGAAATCCCCATGCCAACACTTACCATTGCAGTGCTCACTCGCGACACGCCAAATGTCAGACCACTTAACGTTTTTAGTTTCAGTATTGCCTTCTTTTGATAACCTACAACATAGAGCAGTAAGACATACTTATAACGGGCAAACTAAACCTTTCAAGTTTGTTGTTATACAAAAAAACAATCAAAAAGCTTTTTCAGTCAATGATCATTTCCTTTATTCTCCTGACCTTAATGTTTGATTCAGGGGTGATATGGTAAGGCGAAATTAGATTTAAGTCTCTCTTAGAGGTTAAAGGGACTGAGGGTCAAAGAAAAGAAGTAAAGCATCATGGGATTTATTTGTTACTTCAGTTAAGTTTTCCACAAACTCTACTTTCTCAACACTGTCAAAATGCCAGCAATTGTAAAGGGAGGGAGGGCCATGAGTGTCTTTCCACAATACTTTTTTCCCATTGTTTTGATGTAAGACTAAAAATGTTCCTGTATTAATGGTAAATGGTAGAATGTTTGACGGGTTTGGGGTAGCACAGCTTCAAATGAAAACAATTTTGTTTTGCTGTTCTGGACAAAATTGAACGTAAGCAAGCTTAATTACTAAACACCAGAAAATTTAACAAGATTACAATGAGAAATGCAGAGAATGATGCTACTGACCATCTTTGAAATAGAGCAAAACACCTGGGCATACACCTGAAGCCTATTGATGACCTTTCTGCTAGTTGTTGGGCTAACAATTCAGCAAAGAATTATTATCCCAAATAAACAAATCAAAGGGCTCTTGAGGCCAGCCCATTGATGTTATGGCTTAAGTTTTCTTCGCTTTTCATAATAACAATTCGCTGGTTCCTGATGTGCTAAGCCAATAACAACATAAGGCACATATGGAAAAATCAGTGTGTACACCCCTGAATGTTGGAAATATGTCAAGTCGAACGTACAGTTTTGGTCTCAGTCCGCGTTTTTGTCAACAAGATAAACACATAACGGTTAAAACGATGAGATAGTTGTTCGGGAGAAAATGGGGAATATATACAACGGCCTAATATGTGACCAACACAGTCTATATAATGTAAGATTTTACGCACTAAGCACAACAGACTGGGACAAATTACGCCGTTAGTTACTGGCGTAAAATCTTACATATATACATCACCGACTGGAAGAAATTACACCGTTAGTTACTGGCGTAAAAAGTAAATGGCGGGAGTGTTTATTCCTTTTTTTCTAATATGTTTTAGCGAGGCCACCTTAGTAAGTAGTGTGACAAATTTTTTAGTTAAGCTTGAAAAGTGACAAGGTATGGACAGCTTCTACTGGCATTTTGTTTGTAGCAACTTTCTATCTGTAGAGTGGTATATGTGCTCCTACCATAAACTAAAAAAATTATTACAGTCTAGTTTGAATTCGAATGTCTTGTCTTGCTTTTTTTATGTGCGCGTACGTGTGTTAGGATGTGTTATCGTTCCAGTTCGCAATTTCAAGACTAGTCATTACCCATATTATCCCTTGCCATGTGAATTTAGACAGAATGCACTATCAGACATTTCACATTTAAAACACTCTTTATTTCGAAATTTTAAGATTTTGGATAGTGCCGTGAAAGTGGTAATGAGTATCACCCACGTCACTGTCCCTTTTGTATTCTTTTGCTCGGCCGACGGCTCCACAGTTGTAATATTTTTCTGCAAGGAAATAAAGACTTTTGTAATAACAGTAGCAGTAAAAACCACGAGACCCTTCAAAATTACATAGTCTCTACGGCTAAATAACAGTTGTATCTTTTGCAACGAAATTAGAATGGATTGCCATTTCATTAGGAGAGAGTTACTCGTATCTATATGTGGCCATGTAATATTCCCTTTTCATTAGACAAATAGCAGTGAAGTACTAGAAGACCTTCCGCAAAAATGAGACATGTGTAACATGTTATTTTGACATGTGAATGCCGACGCTATGGATACAAAGCAATTCGTACGCAAATGAAATTTGTCGGTGTCTCCCTTGTGTTTTTCATTTATGTTGGTCCGTTTGTATGTAATTAATTTTAATTTAGGGAAAAACATTATTTCTTTCGATCACTTCTCGCACTGCCGAGACATATTCAATACTCAGAGGGATATTGCGTATTTTAACGCGCCATGCTATATCGTGTATTTTAGATTTAAAAAATAGGCGAATTATACTTGGGAAAACCAAATTAAACGGTTAAAAATGTATCCAACGGTAAGCCCTTGTCCGCTTTTGTGCGGCCAATTTACTTGATCAAATCTTTTGGTCTCCCGAGAGTATTTGCTCTACGTTAGTGGAGGGGTGCAGAGGGGTGCAAGCGCAGTCAGGGGACTGGAGACGGCAGGAAGTGGAAGCAGAAATGGAAAACGCAACCTTTGAAAAGCCGAACATAGCAAAGTTTTTAGACTTCCATTTAATGCCCACCCAGAAAGAAAATTTCCTATTCGTTTCTTTATTACGTCAAAGGTCATAGATGAAATGTCATGTTATCACATACAAGACGAAAAAAATCTTTTCATTCTCAGTCTGCATTTTGCACCTACTCTGCAGTCTGCAGTCCACAGTCCACATTTTGTATCAGGTCTGCAGTCTTCAGTCTTCATTTTGTACAAACAGGTATTCGCGGAAGCAATACAGTTTAATTTTGGTTGCAGTTATTCGCCCAACACACACAATCTACCACAAAATACCTGTGTGTGTGAATTAATTCGACATTTTCGTTCCTTTCCGCGTTAATACTCTTCTTTCCTTTTGTAAGAATGTAGACATCACTTACAATGTTTCAAGCAATCCACCCACCCCCCAAAAAATAACTCATAGCATAGCATGCCTATGTTTTTATAAGGTCTCCAATAGAAAGAAAAATTGGGGGGGGGGGGGGGAGATGAGACTGTTTTGTCACAGATGAGTGACCAGGTTGTTTGGAGAGATTAAAAATGGTGGCATATAACACATTTGGGGAAACTTTTTCAAATGTTACTAGTCTAATCTTTGGGTTTTCAAAAGCTGGATTGTGTCTTAACAATAATGGTAATAATTGGACAATTTTTTGTTCATTATTTCATTGAATAAAAGGTTTGCTGAAGCACAATCCTTCCCTTAAATGTAACCAAGTTTCATCAATGAATAAATATGCAGTAAAACCATTAATATCATTCTACAGTAAACCTCTAGACTTGCATTACCAGAATTTTTTTCTTTCTTCCTCCCACTTCCTTTTTCAGGTTGTTCCTTTCCCTGTTCTGGAACATCTGTTTAAGAACATAGATGAAGCAGTTTTATTACTTTTCAAAAATTTCGTACGTCTTCTGTAGCAACTTCTTGCTGAAGAAAGAAAAGGAATAAAACTAAAAACTCTTGCTTGAACCATCATATTGCTCATTTCATTAGTGGTGTGATCTCAGTTCCCAATTTAAATGTGCTGGTATTTGATCCTATCTCTCAGAAATCCTTACCAATCAACATCAAAACCAGTATAGGCATGAATCCTAAATTTAATTAGTTAATGAATCCTAACAACTTAAATTTTTTAATTCTCACTAAACTTTGGGTTAGGGTTAGGGTTAGAAAATGAAATAAAATATAAGCAATTTATTATTCAACTGCAAAAAGAAGTGTACAAATAATACATGAATAGAGTACAAATATCATGCAATATTGTATAGTTGGTTATTTTGTACTGTAAAAACCCTGTTTAACTGTGCGTGCCAAGCATCTTTATCTACTTTTCTTTGCAGTTGGATAATAAATAACTTATTGGTAGTTCTGGTGTGTAGTATTGCTTAGTATTTTTCCTTGCTGTTTGTATTTTGACTTGCCCTACTGGCACATCAAAATACGACACAACTAGTAAAAATGCTCAGCAATACTACACACCAAAATGTCTAATAACATGTATACATATACACATATATTCCCTCCAATTGACAAAAAAAAATCTGCCCAGATGTTGGTTCATAGTCATTAATTGTTTGTTCACAGAAGCAAACAGATTTCCCAGAGCAAAGCTTCAGAGTTCTCATCAAGTGTCAGTCACTGACAAGAAAATTTGCCACCTCAATTTTTGAGCTGCCTATTTTAAAAAAAAAAAAAAAATGTGTGCAAGTTATGAGCAATTTTTGTAGCAGTCAGACATTTTAAATTTTAATTACAGTTAAAACTGTAATTAAAATTAAAAATGTCTGACTGCTACAAAAAATTTCGAGAAAGATAATTTTCTTACCAGCCATTTTCACATTTCCACGAAACAACAAAAATTTATGCTTTTATATTTTTTGCTGCCCGGTTAAGCACTCTTGCAAAGTCTACCTAGCACACCTTAACCTAGCCAACCACCCACCATATCGATTTATACACACATGTACTTCCAAAAGACTGCATAAAATGACATTTTAGAGTCTCTTACTTTCAAAACTAATATTTTGTGGGGGAGCATGCCCGAGAACCCCAGCAGGAGTTCTCAAATAATCAGTAGTCTACTCCTGATGCAGCTAGCCATATACTCCTGACTTATTGAAAACCCTGAAACATATGCATGTGTTGTGGGTCAAAAATTTCCCAGATTCATTTAATTTTTACTTTTAGTTGTCTTTGTTAAAGTTTGACTTTTGAAAGAAACAAGAAAAAGAGTCAGACTGTTTTAAAACCTTTCTGTGAAATTAAAAAAACTGGAAACACCCACATATTTCTAGAACATGATTGTGTCATGATATACAATCCAAGGAGGCATAAGGATTTTTGAACTGTACACAGTAAGGCCAACTAGTTTGTGGTTTTGTTCTTTGCTTCCATGTCCCTATTTCCCCCTGTAATTGGTTGAAATACAATATTATGAATAACCATTCTAGATACATTTCAGGTATTCATGGTTTCCTGACTTTGACAGAATAACCACAGTATGAAAAGGTATATAGAGAAACTGGGCCAGTCATTTACACAAAGTCTAACCCAAACCACAGTCTTATGCAATCAGTAAGACTTCACGGTAAGGTTCACCTAAATTGAGGATTTTTCAGGATGTAGTTTTGTTAAACAATGGCTAGACTTTGTTGAAGTAATCAACCTTGGGCCTATTGTTTCCATATCTGAGTTTGATGTTAATGGTATCTACTCAAAAATTCTGCTTTTAATCATATGCAAAAGGAGCAACTAACAGACCTGTTTAGATCAAGCCCTAGCTATTAAAATCAAAAATGAGATAATATTAACCTTCCAACTGGTTTCTGTCATCAGAACTATCCTCCAAACTATCCTCCTCACTAGAGTCATATCCCAGATCTGGATTAGAGAGATCTTCACTCATATTTAGTTCATTTCCATGCTCAATACCAGCTTGTGCTGTCTGCAAAGTACCTGCATCAAAACATTTGTAAAGGAAAGTTTTTCCTCAGCACATTTTAATACTTGCTGATACAAATACAATACAACAATACAAAGACTTTATTTAAACACGATAATTGTTAAAGCGACTACACGCTTGTGGGGTCGTGCGTGAAATGGAATAAAATGAAATGTAGTAAAATACAATAATTAAAGTAGCCTATCAAAATTAGAAGATCTAAAAATATTTAAAATTGGGGTCCTTAAAATTCACTGTCTGTGGAGAAATGGAATTAAAGTTCAAATTTAAAAGTGCCTTTGATTTGTAGGCTAACGAGGAGAGCTGCTTAATGGTTATATTTCTTAAATTTGATTCTTGGAGAAGTGTGTTAAAAACGATAGGTCCTCTTCTGGAAAAACTGTTTTTCATGTAATATGTATTGAATTTTGGTACTTTTATGTTGGCATTACTTCTTAGATTTTTCTTAGTATTCACGTCAACTTCTTCGGTGGTATCTAAGATGGATATAGGTAAAGTCTTCTTATCTATTTTGAACATCAGTTTAGCTAAATTAACTTTATATGTGGTTTCAATAGAAGACCATCGAGCTTTGCTTAGTACGTCAGACTTAGGCATATCCCATGGCCAGTTAAAGATTAATTTTGCCGCTCTACAGTGTAAAGACTCTAATGCAATTAGGCCCTCCTTATTAGTAAGGCCGCCCCAGACGGTGATACCATATATAATTGATGGGTAGATTACCTTAAAGTATAAGTCCAGTAGCATGGGTCTTGGTAAGAACAAGCTGCGCTTCAGCATGTTAAGCTTATTTGCAAAGCTGATCTTTAGTGCTTTGAAATGGTAGTCCCAGTTAAGTCTATTATCAATATAGACTCCAAGCAGCCTGGTGTGTTTAACCCATCTTATACAATGATTCATCAGTATTAATGACTGTAGTGGACCAGTGAAGTTTCCTCGATGAATTAGCATGCCTTCGCATTTCTTGGGGTGAGGCAATAGTTGATTTCTTAAGCACCATAGCTCTAGTTCCTTGAGAGCAGCATTCAGTTCGGCAATAACAATGTCTACGGTGTCTCCGATACAGAACAGGGTGGTATCGTCTGCGTACATAAAAACAGTTGCATTTGTTATATTATCAGGTAGATCATTTGTGTAAAGTGCGAACAAGGTTGGACCGAGGACTGATCCCTGAGGAACGCCTGTATTAATGCGAGCAAAATCAGAGGCTGCGCCGTCAATGACTGTGAACTGTCGCCTCCCCTTTAAGTAGCTGTGAAGCCAAGCAGCCAGGTTGCCCTTGATCCCAAAGTCAATCTCGAGTTTATGCAGCAATATTTTATGCGATACACAGTCAAAGGCCTTTTGAAAATCGACAAAAACCACGCCGACAACTTTACTGTTATCAACCGCTTGTCTCCATTGTTCTGTCAGTTTTATAAGCATTAATTCAGTAGAAAAGCCTTTCCTATAAGCCCATTGGTTTTTAGTGACTAAACTGTGCTCGTGGAATGTATGGTTGACGATTCTCTGAGAGACCGTTGATTCAAGGATCTTGCTGGGTATACTGAGAATAGAAATTGGCCGATAGTTGCTCATGTCGCTCTCATCGTCCTTTTTGTGGATAGGGCTCAGCCTAGCCACTTTCCATTGTTCAAACACGTAGCCAGATGTTAGACTTTCACAATAAATATGGTATAATGGATGGACCAACGCATTCCCGGCAGTTTTTAGAGTTCTAGAAGAAATCTGGTCGGGACCGGTAGCTTTATTCCATTTAAGATCTGATAAATACTTTGCAATTTCGGATTTTGATAAAATAACGTCTTTGATAACAGGAACTGACTTTAATGTTGTGGCAGCGTTGACTTTTGTGAATGAAAAGTTCCTTGTTAGATTAATTCCTATATTAGAAAAGAAAGAATTCATCAAATTTGATTTTTCTTTACTATCGACTGCCAGAGAACCGTCTTCCCTCTTCAAGGGTCCAATAGCCTTTCTGAGTTTTGGTGCAGTGGCATTGCGAAGAAGATTCCAATACTCCGCAGCGGTTTTTATTTCAAGTAGTTGGTTCTTGAAATGTTTAGTTTTCGCCCGACGTACGTCCGTGGTGATTTCATTACGTAATCTTTTGTATTCCTTCCATTTGACCGGATCTTTTGTGCGAGTGGCTACTTTGAATAATTTAAACCGTTTGTTCATCTTTAATCTTATTTCGCTGTTAATCCATGGTGAACAGACGCTGCGAACCTTGACGTCTTTATAAGGGGCATGGACATCACAAACATCGTTGAACAAAAGATTCCAGCCCCAAAGGACGTCGTCTTTGTCTTCGAATATATCCAGTACGTGAAAAGGTATTCGTTCAATATCTTTCTTGAAATCTTGAATGTTACATCTCTTGAAGTTTCTTGAGCGGACAATCTTCGGAGGGGGTCTTTTGGATTTCAACTTCAAAGTGGCGTAAACTAAACTGTGATCAGATATGCCCAATGGCAGCACGCCGCATTGACGAACCATGTTTGCTTTAGTTGTAACAATAAGGTCAATTAGGGACTCCGTTGTGGATGTTATTCTAGTTGGTTGAGAGATAATGTTTTGCATATTGAAGTCTTCAAAGGTCTGTATCAGCTTCTTCGTTTTGCCCAAAGTAGGTATGCCGTCAGGGTCCCTATTTAATAAACAACAGTTAAAATCGCCAAGTATAAAGATGCTGTCAGTTTTAAGCCAAGCTTTTTCGAGGGCTCCACGAAAGCTTTCGAAGAAATTCGTGGACTCTAGCTCAGACCTATAGATTACGGAGAACAGAGTAGTGTTTGTAGGAAATTTAACCTGTATCCAGAGAGCTTCAATGTCTGAGGCTGCCAAATCTCTGCGATGAGTAACGGATAAATGTTCAGCATAATACATGATCACGCCGCCGCCTTTACGTTGAGATCTATCACAACGTATGAATTTAAGATCAGGAATTTGTAGTACATTATCAGGTATTGAGGCGTTTAAATGGCTTTCGCCGATTGCTAGGACATCAAATCTGCAAATTTTCTGTAGAAGACGAATATCTTCTATTTTATTTCGAAGACTGCATACATTGAGATGCGCGATGCGTAGATCGTTGTGCGAAGTATTCAAAGAGGCTGCAAACCTTTCGAGGTAGTCGTCTTTGTGTTGTTCACAATCACCAGTGTTATCTGGAACATTGTTTGATAATCTAGCGTCCAGACAGGGTTGGCAAAACCATTCAAAGTTATCCATCAATTGCATAGCTTTATACTGATTAGGCTTAATGTTCCCGCACTTTATGTGAGTCCATCCATTGCATGAGTCACAGCTAACCGCTCTGTGGTTTGTCGCCACAGTCCTGTTGCAAGTAATACATTTATCGGGACCAGGATTCAAGGAGACGTCTCCGGATACACGTATTCGTATAGCTTGGTAGGAGCTCGAAGAATTAGGATAGTAGTTCAGGCGTCTATTGTAATAACCTTTTACGGTGATAGTTCTGCCAAGATGGCGGATGGACGAGCTAGTTAAGCAAGGATCGTGTAGAAACCTCGTGTTGTAGACCGGCCAGGTAAGTCTGAATTTTGGGCAAAAAACCGGTTTGCTGTTATGAAGGCTTTTCCCATTGGAACGATAGCAAAGTTGAGCAGAAATGAGTAAGAGATATAGTATTGTGGAGCGAGTTATTAAGCAACCATTCGTCATTGCGGATTCGGGTGCACCCGAAGACGGAACAGATATTTATGAAGGACACTATAATTCTTTGCCACAGTCAGCACCTTATTATTTCAAGCAAGACAAGAATAATGGATAAAACTTTGGATCATGAGTATATATTAGGCATCTGTAGGTTGGGTATCAGTCTATACTTTCCATCGACATGTCAACTGAGTGTGAGTTGATATATCAGGCAACAATCGGCCAAGTACTGGCTGATGTGTTGATCAACATCAGTTACCTCTCAACCATCACATGTCAGTTGATACTCTGTTGACATGCAGCTGATACTTCATCGACACCTGGCTGATACTTTACAGACACTTGGCCAGCACTACTGTCACTTGGTTGGCTCTTGTTACTGAGTCCTATCTCCTATACTCAGATGTGCTATATGATGATTTAGTTATAATTAACAGATGGTAATATGACTAATACAGACCTTAAACAGATGTGTACTGATCTGCTAAGTGCTCAGTGCACAAAAGGAGTAAAAAAAAACAGGTTTTACAGGCATGAAGATGACCTGACCAAACCCTTCCTTCCTCCTATTGAGTTTCATTTTTCTAACTGAATGCCTTGAACAAGCTAACCCAGTCAATACCAATAACAAAACAGAGTTACTGTTAAATATGGAAGACATGACCATGTAGTACTCTCTAGAGTAGATGGTGGGCTGGATCCCTGGTGGAGAGGTCAGAGCTCAAGTTCTAAGTAGTGTCACTCTATTGTGTTTGTAAGGCAACAAAATTTATTGAGCCCAACATTACGTCTCTATCAAGTCCAAGGAGGACCAAGTTGGAAAGTAAATTGTCACAAAAACCTGATAAAATTCAGAGAGAATAACCATGAAGGACTAAAATCAAAAGTAATAAGTCAGGGGTAACCAATTTAAACTTCCATAGATAATGAACACTCAAGTTAACCGTATTTTTTCAGAAAACAAGTAAAGCGAGGTACTGCAATCTTCATAATCGGTAAAATCCAGGAAAAGCCCAATAATGAGCTGAGAGGAAAAATTCCCACCTGTTCGTAAAACAATCATATGATGCTGGTAACGTTCAAGAGTTAAAAGAATTGACTTACAAATACATGAACACGTACGCTTAACTAGCCAAAAGTTACCAACCTTGAGGTAACCGTGACCTATCAATCTGTGAAAACAGTACAAAAGAAATCTGCTCGTTGTCGTCAAGAGTAATGGCACCCACAGCTTTGGTCTTGCCGTCTTTGCCTGTGATGGCAATTGGAGCTCCAAGGCCTCTTCGATTATGGCTGTAGATGCTAGCACTTTCTATCTTCATGGAATTGAGGTCAACGAGATATGCTTCTTCGTCTGCGATCCCCATCAGCTGGTATGGTCTTATGGCCCATTGATTTCCGGATTCCTCAACAACGTGACAGTATAATTTAGAATTTCTTAAACCTTCCTTTCCTTCAGCGCATATGGTAAATGGACGGTGAGTCAGTATACCGGAAAAACGTTTTCGAAAAAAGTTAAATTTAGTTCGGTCAACAGGTACAAATGCGAGTCCATGGAATCTGTGGACCGGTTCCTTGCATATACTAAGTAGCCCCCTTCCTTTTTTCGTTTCTGCCATTTAGCTTCTTGAACCATAAAAAGAAGCAACTTAAATCACGGGATGGAAAAACCTTTTCGCTTGTGATCAAATGTACTTTTTGATCACAATTCTTAAAGAACCCCTCCACGAGGCTTCCAATACCAACGAAGCTGTCACCGTTCCTAGTCCGTTTCTCGATCGCGCAAGTAGCTAAGATGCGCTGCATCTCCCTTCTTTCCCTCTCTGTACTCGTTGCATGTACTGGCAACATTAGATTCGTACGGTTTAAGTCTCCACTTGAATCTGCCATGTTCCCTTCCCAAATCACGAGGATACACTCAGTTTCACCGCTATACTAAACTTTATAGTAGTCTTCAACAACCATGAACGCCACAACCCGGAAGCGCTTGAGCCCTCGTTTTAGTAATCAGCGGTCAAAAGTAAGGTAAGAGAGCCGTTCATATCTGGTGAACAGAATGTATTGAGAATGATAACACAACAGAACCCAACTGACTCGAACTCTCGAGGGAAACCAGTAACGGTTCGACCTAGACGGGGTTCAAGTCAGCCGATAGTAACTAACTAGAATGCTGGGGTGAAAGAAAACGGAATTTTGCTCAAGTTGCCGGGGAGTTCTGAGTAATGTGAGTTCAAGATAACGTAGTTCCACTGTTTATCTGTAAAGACCTTTTGGGTAGTTCAGGCAAGGAACTCATGTCATAGGTATACAAAGACTTTTACGAGTGTAATGAGTTATCTATGGATATGCAAAGGTCTTCATGAGTATGCAGGGGGTGTCTGTGGGTGTACTTCAGTATTTATGGTTAAACAAGGGTTTTTAACCCTTTAACTCCCAAGATCTGATTGTTAATTCTCCCCTCCACCTGCTGCACATTTCCTTGTTAATAAGTTATGAGAATTTGGGGCAAGATCAAGGCAAAAAATTCTACCTGATAAGTTTGGACATTCTCATCACATTTGCAGATAAATGCACAGATATTTTAGGGAGAAGTTGCATGTTAATCAATTTTGGAAGTTAAGGAATTCAGAATTTACAGGGGGTATTTATTTATGGAGTGCACTTTATTACCAAATAAATGTGAATATTATGGGATATATGGATGCCTCTACAATACCTTGACATGAATTATAAACCCTTCTCCACCAGTGAATGCCCCAATATAGTTTGCCTCCACTAGGGTGGAGAGGAAGGAAGAGAGTACTCAGGAGAGGATCATAAGAGATAAAGGTTTATAACAAAGTCCTCAGAGCAATGTTTATTCAGAACCTATTTGCCCAAGGCATTCGCATTTTGTTTTATCAGAAAACTGCTGTTTCTTAAAGAAACTATAAATCCAAGCTTCAAAATAATACATGTATATTTTATACTGAAATGCTACTTAGCCCAAATGAATGGCCATAAAGTATACTATTTGCAGAGCAATAAGATTGCCTTTTCCATTGATAAAAATAGGGTAAAATATTAATCTAGGATTAAAAGTTAACTTTGGTTTTAATTTCTTGTGTAGAGGATTGCCATAAGAGTTAGGCTTTTGTTGGGTTTTATCTCAATAGGACTAAAAAATAATGGGAAAAATCCAAACGAAAAATCCCTTTACAGTGCTATATGATCACATGTTATAAAAGTAACAACTGCATAGCTGGATTCATTCATAAAAGCCAGAACAGCATGAAAAAGGCGTATGAAGCGGGTAAGTTTCTGTGGTGCCGCATCAGTGGGGACTGTTTGATGTTTCCACGTTATGCAGATAATGGCACTTAGTAATGTTTAATACATACATGTAGGACTCAAATTCAAAGTCAAAGTAGAGATAAGAAAAAGCTAAAACTTGATCTTCCTTGGTTCCCGAGAAACCATCCTACGAAAAGTTCTAAAAAATTCATAGAAAAAAATTTACAGGTAACTTTTTCAACGATCACGCGTGACGTTTCCTTATCATGTAATTAATGCAACTACGTTACAAGCTTAGATAGCTGTGACACAGTAGCACGTCATTACGTACATTGGCTCTACTCTGTTAAGGGCTGAAAGACTGCCTTATAGGCGACTTAAGGGCGCGATTAACTCTTTTCCTCAAATTCTCTAAATCATTATGAGGCAATCTTAAATGTAGCTGAACTTAATCCTTGCGAATATGCTGTAACTGAAGTTTTCTAATAGTCGCTATGTCAAAATTCCCAATTCCGATTTAATTGAATACACTTAACAAGCCTGGCTTGCGAATTAAACAAAAAGTTATTATTAAGGGTGCTGTCCTTTGGGATGATCCTCATTAGGTTTTCTGATTAGTAGCGTTCCTCTTCCACGGCGAGTGTTATTGCTTTGGTCATTGTTTTGGGGTAACCTGGGTTGTCTCGGCAAGAATTTTCTGTTCTGCGTCGCCGCCCATTTTCAAGTTTCTTCAGATAGTCGGTCCAGCCGAAATTTGCAGCTATTTTACCTTTTCGAACCTGTCTTACATAGATAGCTGCACTGGCCAAAGCAAGCGGCTAGTAGTCCAAAGACCGTGCAATTTCTTTTCCCGTCTCGTCATTAGTGACACCAGAAAGGAGCCTTAAAAAAGAGCTGGCATGATTAGGAAGTATCCCTTCGCTTAGTGATATGTGCTGAATGGAGGAGCTTGTCAAAGGAATAGACGTGAGGTCCTGTGTTGTTGACAACTGGCCCCTCACCCATTGTTGGTTTCCTGGACCTGGCAGATAAGTATGTACATGAGACAAACTGGTGACATTATCACCTAACAGCAACCACGACGTGTGAAGCCCAATTTTTGCGCTTATTACTGAGCGTCGTGAGACTCGCAATTTTCTCGTCTGTGCTCAGATCTTTGGAATTATGAGTGTCTGTAACTATATAATTTGGACGTCTGCAATGCCGAGCGAAAGAGGCAAGCGATTCCAAAAGTGTTTCTGAATTTTCTGCATTAAGCGTCCTGAGAAATGGAATCGAAGAGGGAATTTCTTTGCCTTCGTCGAGGAGTCGCTTAGCTGTTAGACGAGCCAGCTGAGATTCTACACTTCCAGGATTTCCAGATAAATACAAGGTGCTTCAGCTGTTATTGTTGGCACTTTTGAGTGCTTTGGGGTGGTGTGATTTTACCAACTCCAGATTCGCGAGGGAAGACGTCATGTGTAGGTTCAGGAGGGCGAATACACAACGGGGAGACTTCGGTATACAAATGTTCTTCAAGGGCCGTCATTACCTAATTCTCTAATTCTTTCAAATTACTTTTCTTTTTCTTCGAGTTTCGTTTCTTTCTCTCGGAATTGTTGTCGTAAGGTGCCAGTTTCCTTCAGAACATTTCCTGACTCTTCCGTTAGAAAAATTGTCTTATTTGCGATTTCACGGATATTTTGAGCGGGAAGACCGAGTGCATGAAATGCAGTAATTATCTCTAAAATTGCCTTTTGAAAATCTACGCTTGAAAGGTAGCCTCGTGGATTATGTGAAAATTGTTCATTACGAAATCTTCTGAGACTATCCACATTTGATCGAATAACTGGATTGAGACTGTGGATGCAATCGGAATAAAGGATGGCATAAAACAGTGTGGTACAACTCCATTCAGCTCTGTTACCATTTATTATAGTGTTCAGGAGAACGGCGCTTCTTTTTCTATTTCGAAGCGATTCTCTGTTCCAAAAGTCCATTCCATTTTTCGGTTCATCTTTCCATTCTCCCAGGGTTGTCTTGTAGCGATTGTCCCATTCTCGTTTAAAGATTTCCCGCAGGCCTTCAGCTAGTTCATTTTTGGCAATCAAACAAACCTTGAGGTAGTTGAACTGCTCTTCGGTGACCTTCAAAGAAGAAGTCATTGATTTGCACCTTGATACTGTGAGAAAAAAATATACTATCTTCAACCAACGGAAAAAAAGGATCAAAATAAACAGCTTTTCAATAAGCCTGTTATGGTATTTGAATACTTCTACGTTTCAATTAATTTTTGGGCAAACTCCTGGTCGATTAACAACCATACTGATGATTCCTGAAAATACATGGAAGAGCAATATTATTGCAAAGAAACAACTCTCGGGATTGGGACCAAACAACAGGTTTTGCTTCAAGATCTAAGGGCATGTTTCTCGCGAATATCTATTTCATTTTTTTGATGAATTTAATGACTCACTGACCTTCCGGCTCCACCTTTCAGGGTATTTTTGCATTATCGATGGCACCGTTTCTGTGAGTCACTTTTATACAATTCAATGGCTGAGCCACAACAGTGACTATAATTGCTTGCCTTCTGAACTGAAGTACAAATAGTGACTATTTCATGTTTTCCAACACATTTTGTATCATAACTTTCACAAAAAAGCTCATGCAGGTTTGATGACAAAATTTTGAAGAATTTGTTTACTTTACCAGAAACCCAGTTTAAATCATCGGTCGCAGCGTCATCTACTTATGCAATCCAGCAGACCCTTGCAATTCTGCTAATCTCCATGCTTTCTACGTCATGCAATGGAGGTTCCATATTGTTAGCAAACTCACCATCATCTGTGAACAAAGATTCAACCTTTTGTCCTTCCACTTCATATTGACCTCGTTGCTTCTCTGCTTTTGCTTGGTTCGATGGATGTGCATCGTCATCATCAGTGGGGGTTAAAGAAACTAAAGGGTATAAGGACAGTGCTTAGGTGAATCACAATGGCAACAAGGAAATTTTTCTAGGGAAAAGATTTTAATAATCACCTGCTGTATCGTGGTCTTTATCCTCACATCCTGGATCAGTTATTTCACTAAATGGTGATGATGAGTTGGATACTTTATCGTCTGCATCATAGTCACGTTGGCTCTTATCACTTTCAGGATAAATTAGCGTTTGGACATCATCATTACCTGGTGTGGCCAAATAAAGCCCAAGTAACCTTAAACATTTTGTTTTAACTATTGTTCTCGACATCTAACGAGCAGATTGTATTACATCCACAGATTCCTAATTGTAAAATATTTGATACTATATTGTTAGAGACGAGGCCAAGCACATGGGTAAAAATATCAGTTATAAGCGATACTTGCACTTGGCCGCTCTTTGATAATTAGCAGACCTATTGTCCTAGCATACCTATTAGCTAATGAACTCTGACTCCTCCTAAAAAGATGCTGTTAAAAGCCTTCGGTAGTCACTGAAGCGATAATCTCTTTTCAACATAGTTATTATTATTCAAATTGAATAACTGATGCATGTGAAACTCTAATTGCAAATCAGGGACAATGGGTAACAGGTATATCATTTCACACACACACACACACACACACACACGCACGCACGCACGCACGCACGCACACGCACACGCACACGCACACGCACACACACATATGTGTAGTTTGCGATAGGGGAAAAAAACAGAGAGACTATACTTTTATCCCTACAAGCCTGTTTCGT